TAAGTTATATATGATGACATATCTTAAGTTACATGGAGTGTTAGACACTCCAACGATGTTAGATTTAAGAACCCGTAGATAAGTAGCAGTAGGAAATTTGTAAACTTAGCTGATAATAAATATGTTCAAATAGTAGAGGTAAGTGAAACACTAAAAATAACAAAGCTTTGGTAATATATTGAAAAACCTACACAAAGTCAGCCCCAAATTACTGGGCAGCGCTATTGGACTATAGCCATTGCATAGCTGCTTAAAAGGCACTCGCCCGGACCTTCAGGTTGCTCACTCACTCCATTAGCAATCTTTTGGTTCACAACTAAATACTCGTTAAATCTGCTTCGGAAGAATTCATCTATCATCTTGAGTGTCCCCAGAGTGTAGAAGCACATAAAGCATAAGAACAGCAAGCAGCGTAATAAAGAGAACATCCTCCAACGAAGTTTTATTAAGTTGTGAAGTCCAAATAGATGTAGTAAGCGGCGTTAATGGCTTGCTTCATCTGCGGCCAGCACACAAGCACAAAGCAAAGCAGCGTGTTGATAAAGACAAAGAGTTTGAGGTTCTCCAAACCCTCCTCAGAGCTGAGCCACCGGGAGAACGTCCCTCGTTCCACTACTTCTTGCTCCGTTTGGTTGCTTAGCTGCGATTTATTGTTCGTTTGCTTCTTCATGACGATCAACTAAACAAACTGAAACCCAAACGCGTTGGAGTGAACTCAATTGAATTAGTCAAAGATTTAAGCGCTTTATTAGATTGACTCCCAGTCCGGTTCGATAACATAATCTTTTTTCAAGGGCACCTTGGCCTTTTGCTTCAAGCTCCAAGGCGGTCTTTTCAAAGGAATGGAGCTGCCACTGGGTAGGATGCCGGTGATGTACAGGAAGTACAAGGTTTGGGCCGCAAACCAGACGATCAGCTTCAATGTGGCCCAGTTATGGACTTTTTTGCGTGGCGGCCAGCAAACAATCACACCTGCTAGAGATAATGGCTGGTTGAATTGCTATCGAAACTTTGCAGCTACATTGATGGTTACCTTTGGGCTGATCCTGCGGATTTCGCTCGCAGGATATCGGCGTCGACACTTTTTCATAGCGATGTTCGTTATTTTGCAGATTCAACTTGGATCCACCCTCAATGTTGGTCACAGACGCACAACTTCCGTTGTGAAATTGGGTTTTCACATACTTAAAATTGGCCGAACTCACACTTTTGACCGTGAATATGTCGAGACAGCTTGGTAGACGTTTAGGGCCTGTTTGGCTCTGGGCATCGTCAGAACGGCTCATTTTCCGCGCTTTAAGAGGCCACATGGGAATCTACTAGGGGATTTGGACACTTGACATTTTATTTGAGCGAAAAGAATATTTGCTGGTGGTAATGAAACGCAATTACTTGATGGAATTAAGTATTTATATATCTTTCTCGCCTCTTTGGTTCGCTCAATAATTCGGGAAACAAAAACATAACGTTCAGCTAAACAACCAAGCCAAGGAACAAATAGTTTATGATTTCGTGCACAAACAACAAAAGAAAATGAACTGGAAAAACCCATATCGGGCATTATGGATGTTGATGTGGCACTCGACTGAGGCCAGATTAACACCCATAATTTAGTAAAATTTTATACTCTCATTTGCCCTAATTTATTATATTATTCTCTTATAAAATAACCACTCGATATTAGTCTATTCAGGCAAAAATTTAGAATGTAATTTGATTTTTTGGTTGTGCCGTATTATAATCGATAGATCTCTAATTGCTTGAGTGAGTCGGCCATTAAATCACTCGTACTAAATCTAAATAGCCGACTTTGAAGACAATTTATCGAATTTAACATCGCAGATCTACGTAACATCTTTGACTATACAAGTATTTCTCTTAAAACTTAAACGTATTTTACAGTAATAATTGTTCTCGACTAATTCTAACCCACTTTTGATTGGTATATATAATTTATAGTTTTTATCACCTACTACGTTTAATTCGATAATAGTGTAACGGAGCAGAACAGTGAAACGGAACCGTTTTATCCAATTCAAATAAACCGTTTTCTTAAAATAGTTTCAATTCAATCACATACAAAGAGCAGGAAAAGTTTAAATTATCACAACGTTTTGATCTTACACTATTCAAAAAAGTACATTATTATCTAGGAATACAGTTTTACTCTAAGCGAAAGGAGTATTTTGTACATAACTTCTAGCTGTTTGATCAACCAAAGGCGGCAGCTAAGAGTAAATTCGGCGTTTTATGAGCCAAAATTGACGGTTGTATTTCCACTTAAACTGGGCTCAGTCCAAGGTTCCTTCGAAACAGCGCCAAAATTTCGTGCTTTAACAAAATAAGGAGTTTAAAAACCTACACAGGTTTAGGGATTTTTTTTGAAAATCAGTAGAAATCCTGATTAGTTCTACGTTTTCTTTGGCAAGCACACTGGGAGTTTTTCAGTGCTTCGCCAAACTTTCAGGCTTTTAACTAGGTACTTGAGTTGGAAAGTTGCGATTTTTTTCTGTTGACACGCCGAGTTTAAAGCAATTTCTTTCTTGGTCTTTAATGTGGAGATGCGAAGAGTTAGTTCGGGAGGTTTCAAAAAGTCGCAACATTTTTTATATGACTTTTTGTAAATTTTTGTTCAGGAGGTGCTCTGAAGCTTTATCCATATGTAGCCAAAAATTGCAGCCGATTGTCGGCTTTGATTTGAAAGTTGCGAATTTCTTCCTGTAGACACACCGACGTCAAAACAATAACTTTCATAGTCTTTGAAATGAAAAAAAATCCTGTTACTCTGGTGCTTTTACATAATCAAAACAATGTTTCACCTGTATGTGGATAAAGTTTAAGGCTGGTAATTGCTGCAGTTTGGGAGTTGCAAATTTTTATGTTAAAAGATGCGAAGAGTTAGTTTAAGAGGTTTTCAAAAATCGCAAAAATTTCTGATGCTTCTAATTTTTGTTCGGGAAGTGCTCTGAAGTTTTATCTATATGTAGCCAAAAATTGCAGCCGTTTTTCTGCTCTGATTTGGAAGTTACAAATTTTTTCCTGTAGACACGCTGTAGTCAAAGGAATTTCTTTCTTTGCCTTTAAATATTTTTTTTAAATCCTGTTACTCTGGTGCTTTCACCTGATCCGAACAATGAAGTTTCACCTATGAGTGGATAAAGTTTAAGCCTGGTATTTGCTGGAGTTTGGGAGTTGCCTCGACGGAATCTGGTTAAAATATCGGCATTTGTATGCTTTAATTTGGAAGTTGCGGATTTTCATAGCAAAACGTGTAGAAATGTTGCGGTTTTTTGAGCGGACACGCCGAAGCGAGAGCAATTTCGACTCAAGTCCGGGATTTTTTTTAAATGGCTTTTACTCATTACTCTTGATTATCTATGGTTAGTGTATTTATAAGTTTCACTTATGCGAAAATTCAGGCTTGCATTAATTAGCCCAAGTTTGGGAGTTGCAAATAACCGGGGATTTAAACCAATTCTCCAAAGTCGAAATTAGTTCTGATAGGTTGGAGTTTCTTATGAGTTCTGATTCACCATGACTTTCCCTGATTAATATCCATAGACTTGATCTGTGTGTGGGCGAAATATCAGACTGAGGTTCAATCTCAACTTCAAGGAAACGAAGCTATTTTAGACCAAGTTTTAGCAGTTTTTTAAACTGTTCCTTACTCTGGCCGGCCTTTGTTAGATCGACAACTCGATGAATTGAAATTGAAAAAATGTGAATAGCAGCAACCCACAACCTCCACATCCGCATTGGAAGAGAAACCGTTATGGAAAATTGCACTTTACCTAAGCTAAGTGAGATGGTCGGATGCCGCTGTTGCCACCGTTCACATAACACGAACAACATACACTAAAAAACTGATCTAATCACTACTAAAATCAATTCTCTGCATTGCTTTTGTCACAGTCTTCGCTGGATCTGATCCTTTTTACAAATATACAAACCGGGCCACGAACGATCCGCAACAAGTCGATTATCTCGTTGGTGTTCATGTGTTCCACCTCTTCATCATTCACCTAACAAAGGTTTCGTATGGATAAAAACCGGGGTTCTGAAATGAAAACTACTTACTTTGATTATGCGATCTCCTGGTCTTATTCGGCCATCTTTCGCCGCCACTGAATCTGCATAAACTGCGCTCACGTAAGTGACTCCGGCTGCTCCCTGAAGACTGAACCCTAGGCGGCTGTTCCAGCCTCTGTTCAGTTCAATAGCAAGTATCTGATGGGAGAATACAAAAAAATTGGATTTTTTAGCCTTCACAAGGGGAGTGGTTTAACTCACCTCAAACTCGTCCTTCATGGGGGCCACTTTCTCGACGTTTTCAGTCTTGATCTCGGGTTTGTCCGCATGCTTACTAGAACTACTGGAGTCTTTTTTCAGAATTCCTTTTTTCCGCTTAATCGTGTCAGTCTCTTCTTTTTGAGTGGGTTGGCCTCCCTTTGAGGCCTCCATGCAAGGGGGATGCGCCGATTGGTAAGCCGGGTTCTTATAACTACAGTTTATGTCATTGAAAAACCTTCAAGGATTTTCATTAGACAAACGTATAGCTTACCTAAAGGCGGCTTTATTTGAAGGAATATGTGGCATGCTGGCGGGTTCTTTCGGGTAACCATCGGTTTGATCGCCCTCGGGACCGGCGCCTTCTTCGGGGCCTGTAATTAGTCGCAGGTTAATAAACAGCCGAAACTGGCCTTTGGTGAATTTGTGGGCAATGTCCTACCTAGGTTGTAGGCAAGGTTGGGGGCGTCCAGAACCTCTGGATCCAGATTGTTCAATTCGTAGGCATTGTGAGCGAGTGAGAAGTTGAAGCGGGGCTTTCGGGCCGCCACTGGAGTTTGATTCGGATTGTACAGATCCAGGGTGTTGGGCCTGGAATTTCAACCAATCACCACTCATTCCAATGACTGGCTACTCAGCAGGAAATAGCTGGAAAGGATACATACTCGTACCTTGCCGGCCTGTCCAAGTCCTCATCATCAATGGTGAAGAGCGAGTTGACAGAGTCCTCGTCAAACAGTTTGCACTTGACCATCCCCTCATGGAACTGCTCCTCCGGTATGATGTACCTGGTGGCGGAGTCTTGGGAGGCGTCGCTAGGATAGTGCTGTCTGCGCAGCCTTCTAGGCGAAGAAGTGGGCGACAAAGACCTGCGGGCCGCTACTTGCTGGTGGCAAGGAAGGAGCTTGCGCGCCGCAATATCATGCAACATGTCCACGGCCTCTTGCCTGGAAAGTAGGCGAGTTCACAAGTTTTCGGCACTAGAAAAGGCTGACCCAACCTCAAGTTGGCTTTTTTGGAGAAGGAGCTGCGCGGTGATCCTTCAGTGGGGCTCAAAGTGGTCACGGGGGTTTGGGGCGAGTCCCGGTAGAGCCTCAATTTGACTCTATCCCCGCATATCCGCAGATATTGAACGGCCTGCTCGTGGCTCATCGGAAATATCTCCACATCGTTCACCTGATGAGCAAAATGAGGAAACCATTTTGACATCGTAGATTTCCGGCAAAATTACCGCAATGATTCGATCGCCAGCCTTCAAGCGGCCATCAGTCAGGGCAGGTTCTCGCAACAAATCCCGCACATAGTGCCCCAAAGCGCTGTCATCCTCCTTGCGCAACGTGAACCCCAAAGTGCCCCGAATCTTGGTCAAGACAACCTCGAACTCCTGAAAACCAACCAGCTTAGTTGAGCCTTTTTTGATCCAACTAGTCCTACCCCATGATAGTAATCATCCTCCGGATTGGTGCCGTAGTAGCTGGAAGAGAGGGTTAGGCTGTTGGGCGGCTCCCTACGCATGGGTGGAGGCGGCGGCACTTCCGAAATGGGGCTGACACAGTGGAGCACTTCTGGGGGCGGCCGGCACACCTTCAGCTCCACCTGATTGGTGGCGGTTCGGAGCACTTCAAGGGCCTCCTGCAAAGAGCGGCAGAGAGCTGGTTAATCAGCCCTCTCAACTCCAACACTGGCAAAACCTTACGTAGTTGCTGAGGCCTGTTAGAGGCACCCCATTGGCTTCCAGTAGGAGATCGCCGACATTGAGCAGGCCGCAAGCGGAGGCAGGCTGATGGGGAAAGAGGCGTTTGATGCGCACCAAACCCGGCCAGGAGCCGCCACTTTCTATGCCACCGGCTACGCTCAGCCCCAATCCTCTTGAGCCCTTGTTGAGTTTTACCGTAAACGTGCTTTCTGCAAAGGGAAGGGTTTACTACCCAGATGAGAGAGAGGAGGAGACTGTAGGCTTACCTGGCGTGATGAAGGGATAGCAGGAATGCGCCTCCAGATGATGATGGCACTGATCTAGATCGTGATCAGGCAGGGGCGGCGCAAATTCTTCCTCAGGGGAGCGTTCCGACCCGTAGCCCTGATCCTGGCACTGGGAGGTTTGAGCGTCGGAGAATTTCCAATGCAAAGGAGCGCCGTCGCCCAATGGAGGAATCCGTTGGTTCTTCAAAGGGCCCCCCGATCAATGCCAAAGCCCCGCTAGTGACTACCACAACGTACCTCATCTAGTGGAGGTTGTTCTTCGTCCTCACAGTGATGGCTGCTGGCGGAGTCCGGATCGTCTAAGTAGCTGGGCAGGCTGCCGCCGCTTCCGTCGCCCTGATGCCTCCCTTTTCCATTGCAAATACTGCCGCTCGACTGCGAGCGTCGTCCTGCAACAATGCATTGACTTGCAACCGCCCTTTCTTCGTCCCTCGGGAAACCTTCTTACCTGAAAGACCTTTGGTGGAGTGTCGGCTGACGTTCGCGCCCATTACGTGGCTCACATGGCCACTTTCCTTCCGGTTTGCGCTCTTTTCGCTGAGTATCTTCCTAGAGGATGCGGGCTCTTCATCGGGCTTGGAGGCGGAGAGGCGACGCACCAGCTGCAGTAAGTCGCAGCTCCGATTGGGCGATTGTTTTGGGCGGATCAGATGGCCTGAAATAGAGCAACGGTTTATATTGTAGTTTTAAAGTGACGTCAGTCTGGTTTTCTTCGCGCTTAAGAGGGTCAAGATGGCGTAAGAAACGGCGCCTGTTTTTTTTTTAGGATTTATAACTCTGACTCTGTTCGAAGTTGAGTGGATGGCGGTGAAGAAATGCACTTGAGACGGAATTTTGTCACTTTTGCCTCAAGTGGATTTTATAGCGTGTTTAATATTTTTGGCCACCTTCTCGCTTGGGTCTTGGATGTTGATGAATTGAATTCGACCAGTTTGAGGCGTTCAGTGAACAGGCTGTGGAAATTTCAATTTTTCATTGGCAGTTTGCGAGGAGTTGTAATTTTTTAAACAGAGTTTGAATATATAATCAGGCACTGCCCGCTCTGGTTTGGATGTTTCTGAAAAATCGTTGAAATCTCCGATGTTGCTCGAATTTAGTCAGTTTGAAGCTTAATGTTTAGTTAAGGCTTTGGAAAGGGAGGCTTCTGCAAAATCGTTGAATGCTCAGGATGTTTTCCAAATTTGGTCAGTTTGGGGCCTAATGCTTAATGAGCGCTTTGTAGGAATTTCGTTCTTTTACTTAAAGCTTTTAATGAGTTACGAATTTTTTATGTAAATTATGAGCAAACAGCCTTTTTCCGCTCTTGTTTAAAGAGTTCTGAAAATCTTTAAGTCCCCAGATTTCGGCCAAAATTGGTCAGTTTGAAGCTTAATGCTTAATTAACGCTTTGAAAAAGTTTTAGTTTTTTATTCGAAGTTTTTGGGAAGTTGCGATTCGGAAATTAATAACTTTTCGCTTTTGTTCGGAGGCTTCTGGAAAATCGTTGAGTTTTCAGGATGCTTCCCAAATTTGGTGAATTTGGAGCGTAATGCTTAATGAGCGCTTTGCAGGAATTTCGGGTTTTTACTTGAAGTTTGTAAGGAGTTACCATTTTTCAGGTAAATTATGAGCAAACAGTCTCTTTCCGCTCTTGTTTAAAAACTTCTGAAAAATTTGTAAGTCATCAGATTTTGGGCAAATTTGGTCAGTTTGAAGATGAATGTTTAGTTAACGTTTTGAAGAATTTTTAGTTTTTCATTGTAAGGTTTCGGGGAGTTGCGATTTTTTAATTCCCAAATATGGTCAGTTTGGGGTCTAATGCTAAATGAGCGCTTTGCAGGAGCTTCTGGTTTTTACTTTTGGCCAAATTTGGTCAGTTTGAAGCTTAATGTTTAATTAATGTTTTGAAGAAGTTTTAGTTCTTCATTCGAAGTTTTTAGAGAGTTACGATTTTTTAAACAGCGATTGGGAAATTAATAACTTTTCGCTTTTGTTCGGAGGCTTCTGGAAAATCGTCGAGTGCCCAATGCAATCGTTCCCAAATTTGGACAGTTTGGGGCCTAATGCTAAATGAGCGCTTTGCAGGAATTTCAGGTTTTTACTTGAAGTTTGTAAGGAGTTGCTATTTTTCATGTAAATTATGAGCAAACAGCCTTTTTCCGCACTTGTTTAAAGAGTTCTGAAAAATCTTGAAGTCCCAGATTTTGACCAAATTTGGTCACTTTGAGGCTTAATGGTTTTTGGGGAGTTGCGATTTTTTCAACAGCGATCGGGAAATGAATTACTTTTTGCTTTTGTTAGGAGGCTTCTGGAAAATCGTTGGGTGCTGTAGATGTTTCTCAAATTCGGTTAATTTCAAGCTTAATACTTTGTTAACGCTCTAGAGAAATTTCAGTTTTTCAGTAGAAGTTTTTAAGGAGTTACTATTTTTTATATAAATTATGAGTGATCAGCCATGTCCCGCTCTTGCTTAAAGACTTCTAAAAATTGTTTAGTACTCAGATTTTCCCAAATTTGGTCAGATTGATAATTAGTATTTAGTTAATGCTCTACATACTTTTCAGTTTCTCTTTGGAAGTTTATGAGAAGTTGTGATTTTTTAAACAAAGGTTTTTTTAAACATCAGCTTTTCCTCGCTTATAGTTGAAATCACCTCAAAAATTATTGCGGATTCGGATATTGCTCAAATTTGGTCAGTTTTGGGCCTAATGCTTCGTAAAAACTATATGGAAACTTCAGGTTTTTATTGAAAGTTTGTGAAGAGTAGCGATTTTCTAAGCAAAGTTTCAATAATCACTTATTTTCGGCTTTTGTTTGGAAGCTTCTGAAAAATTGTTGATGAAGCTCGGATGTTTCTCGAATTTGGTCAGTTTGGAAGTTAATGATCAATATGCGCTCTGTGAAAGTTTGAATCTTTTATTAAAATTTTTTGAGGAGTTCCGATTTTTTAAACTAAACTTCAATAATCAGCTATTTTCCGCTCTTGCTTGCGGGCTTCTGAACAATGGTTGAACGCTTGGATATTGATTAAATTTGGTCAGTTTGGGACTTGATGTTTGGCTAACGTTGAGTAGTAAAGTTTAAATTTTTCATATAAAGTTTTTGAGGAGTTGTGGTTTTTTAAACATCCATTGAGAAAGCAACTATTTCCCGCTCTTGTTTGAAGGGTTCGGAAAAATGGTTGAGTGCTCGGATGTTACTCAAATTTTATCAGTTTCGGGCCTAATAGTTATCTAATGGTCTGAAGAAATTTCAGTTTTTCTTTGAAAGATTTTAAGGAGTTCTCATTTTTAAAACAAAGGGTCGATAATTCGTCATATTGCTTTCTGGTTTAAAGGCTTCTGAAAAATTGCTGAGTACTCAGATGTCGGTGAAAATTAGTCAGTTTGAGGCCTAATATTTATATTACACTATGAAGAAATTTCAGTTTTTTGTTGGTATTTTGTAAGGAGTAGCAATTTTTTGGGCAAGGATTGAGTAGTCAGTTATTTTCCGCTCTTGTTTGGAGGCATCTGAAAAATTGTAGAGCCCTCAGATGTTGCTTAAATTTAAATATTTTGAAGCCCAAATCTTACTAAACTCTATAGAGGAATTCCAGTTGTTTATTGGAAGTTCGTGAGGAGTTGCGATTTTTTCAAACAAAGTTTGAGTTTGCCGCTGGTGGCCGCTCTTATTTGGAAATTTCTAAAAAATAGCTTCCTACACAGATATTGCTCATGTTGGGTGAGTTTGGAGTCTAATGTTTCGTAAACATTATGGTGAAGTTTCAGGTTTTTATACGCACTCTGTCGGGAGTTGTAATTTTTTAAACATAAGTTGAGTAATCAGCCTTTTCCGTCCTTGTTCGGAAGCTTCAGAAAAATCGTTGAGTGCTCAGATGTTGCTCAAATTTGGTAAGTAGATTTTCATAAATCCTGGAGGCAAATCAAGTTTATTTTTCGCTCTAAAAGATTATGTGACACTTCTTCCAGTCGGGTTTGCCAAATTGTTTAAATACGACGAAATATGGTCGAATTCGTTCCGGCCTAATGAAATTTCCGGTTGCGATCAACAAGAAAAGTAACTAATTTGACCAACTTCCCGTTCCCCAACTAGACAATGGACCCGAAATCGAATCGATGCGGTAAAAATGTCGACAGACGACGCAAATTTTAATAATAAATCGACCGTTAATGCTTATCGAATGCATAAAATCGCCATCCTAACACCAGATTCATGCTAATGGAACATGGGCCAAAGTTGCCATCAATTTCCACATTTAATCGACACTCGCTTGGAAAACTTTCCCCCGTTCTTGCATTAAATTGGCCAATTTACTCCCTTTAATGGTTCCACTGAGGATGGCCGCGATATCGGGCCGAAACGTCGCGTTGCAACTGTAATGAATCAGGCCCGTAGCAGTTGCACGAAGTAAATATCGTTTCTGGGTCGCAACGGAAATGCCCAAGTTGAAATCGATACCACTATAAAAGCCTCAGTCGGTGTTGTTTTTTCCCATTTTTTTTTTTTTTTCGTTTTATTTCCCCACCAGAGGCCCGAGAATGGCCCTCAATAGGCGCTCTTTTAGCGAGGTTTTTCCCAAACAAAATACTCTTTGCGCGGAATGGAAAGACGCTCTTAGACCGTTCAAAAGCCTTTGACTGCGTCTACCATGAGCAAGATAAGACTGATAGTTATAATTTACTTTAATTAGATAACATGTTGTTAATTATTTGTTTGTCCTCTGATGTGGTCAAGCTTTGGTTTTGAATGCGATTTCAATGTCCCTAATGTGTACAGAGTGGCCCAATTTCGAATGGTTGGGTTATTTGCAAGAAAAGCGAATATTTTTTTCTGATTTCAGTGGCTCACCGTAATTTGCCGCCACGTTTCTCAGGACCCGCAAAACGGAAAACCAACATTACTCATATTTATATAGTGTTAAATTTGGCCGAAATTTGCAACAATCAGCCTTGGACCGAATCGCTCCAAACTAGACCGAAAAACCTGAAGATGACTAGGACCGCAGGCTCGAAACCTTGATGGAAACCGTGCGAATTCAATCCCGATTTGTTCAAGACCTTGAGCCAATCACGAGCTTTGAAATAACCAATGAAAAATTATTTAAATACAGCGGCCGATTTTTCGCGTGCGTATTTCGTGATGTGCCAAAGGCTTTTGACTAGGTAGATGTAGCTTACCGAATTGAATATCCAGCATTTTTGGCCACTAATCCAGCTCACGATATGCAACTTTGCACTGGGTTAAACTGCAACGGGATAATGTTTCTGTATACAATCGAACGGAACCCTCAGGGTTGTGACTGGGCACGAGTCAGAAGTGCAAGTGATTCATCGAATGTCAGGGTGAAAACGGCCTTAAGTGGTGAGTCACCCTTAAAACATTTCGGACATAAAAGTCCATAGATTTCAAATTGGGCCTGTCGAGTGGCCGACCCATGACCATGGACACTATTTTAGAAAGGCCATTTGAAATTATTGTGCCCAGACACAACAACAAAACGATTGTGTTCGTTCGATTGTCTGAAGGTACCCACCATGGGATTTTCGGGATAGATCAGTGGGACACATTTTACTGGACACTATTCACAAAACAGCCAAAAACAACTGGACTGGGTCTACATGCGCGACGAATTAAAAAAATATATATAAAAGAACCAGCACTTTATATGGTACTGAACGAGAATGGCTACCTGCACTCAAGAGCGGCGTTCTGAAGAATCTAAATAGTAAATTCCACGGGCTGTGTTGGCTGGGTCACCGTTTGGTTCTCTGCTGGTAAAAGGTACCCATTGGCCACGTTGCCGAGGGTTTTCTTCAAATGTTTCGTGCTTCTTCATGTCCAGGACGATGGGGGTTTTGAGTGGTTGGATCAATGCCGTTTTCCATAAACCTTCTGGGGGTTTTTTTAGCGAAAATATGCGGGGCTTGAAGAGATTCGTATCAGGAGACTTTTAGTGCTTTATTGTTTTTCCGAAAAAGTGCCGGTTTTTGAGGTGGAAGCTGCACTTGCTTCAAGCATGAAATGGTGCTGCAGAAACAAAAATTTGCCAAATCTTCTAAGTGTAAAAAGTGAATTGTTGCGCTTCAAGCTTTAATTTTTTCGGAGCACTTTTCCTCGATTAATTGGCCAATAAATTTGGTGCTACCAAAGTGAGTAGGGTGCTACCGGCATTGTTCTATAAGACTTTGCTGCGATTGGCGAAGTCTGGCAACGTTTATCTCATTACCCTGATTAGTTTGTAAAAAAGTGGGGACAACAATGGTCTCACTGACTTAGTTTACATGCTTTTCAGGCAAATGTGAAAACTAATTTGCTTATACAATGGCGATTATTAATTAATTTTAGGCAAATTGCACCGAACGCGATTAATGGCGCATACTTTCACTACAAAAAACCATTCACTTGATCTGACCGCGGAGTGCAAAATCAAATGCATTTCTTCAGGAAAACGGGCGTGGATTAGGCAATTTGAAAATTCCACTTTCGTAACAGATGGCAGACAAGCCCGAATCGTGTCCGACAATGAAAAATTGCGAAAATCGACAAGCCACAAATGCTGATTGATGGCTCTATTATGGCCCCTTTTTTCACATCAAAACCCTTCAATCACAGCAACTTCATTTCGGCTCGGGAATAAACCGGCCGGTTTTTATTCGGCGAAAACTTATGCCAATTTGCCGGTAATTCTAAGCGGTTTTTACGGGGATTAGAGCAAAAAATTCTCTTTTGAGTGACTGTTTAGGTGCTCGAAAAATTGACGATTTGGGCAACTTTTCTTCGATAAAACGCTCTAATTAGCCTTCCTGGCAACTTTCCTTCACATGGAAAGTTTTCCATTAAATTTCCTGACACGTTATCGATAGCCCAGAGTTGGATCAACTTTTCCAACTGCAAATTGCGCCGCTTGAGCCAAACGAAAATCACTTTTCCAACTGCGTGCTATTTAGTGGTTTTCTCGGATTGTGCACGTCAAATTTTTGCAGAATATCTCGACATTTTCACCAAGCTTCTTTCGCTCTTTGAATAAATTTGCGGGCAGTTTGGCAGTTTGAGGCCAAATTTCGTGGCTAACTAGGGGCGGTTTTACGCTAGCCGCCATTAGGCCGCAAGGGTTTATCGATAAAATAAACCAAATGCCACCTAAATGTTGATGAAAAATTGGAAAACTGCCAGACGGTATCAGCCAAAATTGGTTTAAGTAGTTTGTGGGAAATTCAGCTTCCAGCACGTGGGCAAAGTTTTGAAAAATATTTAAAAATCCTCTCAAAACAATCCAATAAATTAAACGCTCAAAGGGGCTCAATTAATATCTGCTGGTCCCAATAAGGGACCACAAAAGAACCTCCAAACAAACGCCTGCTTGACTTTGAGGGCACATTTTGCCCTCAAAATCCGCAGTTTGAATTGGCCTTACAATAATAATAATGTGGGAGGCAATAAATCAAACTCACCCTAGCAAATCTCGGTGCAGAAACCGGCTCTTGGACTTGGAGGAGGTTTCAAAAGAAAGCACACAGAAACTTGCCGAAATTACGCGATTTTTCGGAAAAATTAGACACTTGGTTCTTTTGGCTCAAGTGGGAAAACTGTGGAGGAAAAATGGGCAACGAGGCAGGGCGAAAGAGGCGAGGTCCGATAGAGCGCCGCGTTGCCAGCTCAGCTCCCCAAGAAGTTTGGAAGTGAACCACAAAACCTTCAATGTGCACTCAAACCAATACGGGCAGCTTAAACACGCCTGAGACAAAAACGGCATTTTTTTCGTTTCCTGTTTAAAAAGGAAGTCGACCTTTTTAAAAGGTCTGAGCCCCGTGATTGAAGACACCAGGGAATTAATGCTTGACTTGGCAACATCTGCAGGATGGCGACAGTTTTCCTGTGGAAAGTGCGGCGTCGCAGGCCCTATTCGAGCCTGATTCGAGCTGCAGGAAGCTTCAGATTGGAACGCGGCAAATCGTTATTCCGGAGCACTTTCGGCCGCCCTTTCCAGCCTGCCCGCCCGACTTACCGCTGTCCAGATGGGAAAAGTTGACGCTCTTGCACTGGCCGCCCCTACTTTCACTGTCCGGCTCCTTCACTGTGCAGTTGTTGTTCTCGTCCAGTAGGCGGCGACTCCGCTTGTCTGAGGACGGAGCGTGCAGGATGCGCTCGAAAGGAAAAACGTCGCTCTTTGAGTGGAACAAATTGCGCGGACCCTGCTCAACTCTACAAGAATAAAAGATTAGGTTCGCCTTCCTCCAAAAGCCGAGCTGCGGAATACCTGGAAGAGTTTCCTTGCAAGTCCCCGGGGCCTCGACGCCTATCGGCCTTTCTGAGGCTCTCAGCACTGAGCACTAAAATGCCTGCCCGGCTTTGCCTCAGAACGTACTTTTTCGGCTGGGCCAGCTCTGTGATCTGAAAATTCGACTCTTGAACGTTTGGGGCTGTTCTGAGCTCTGAGCGCTTACCTCCAAGTTGCTGGGCTTGTGGCAGGCGACGGTCTCAGCAGTGGCAAGACGCGCATCCAGACGCTTGTTGGGGTCCAGGTTCTGAGCTCGCTCCTTGCTCAGAATGTTCATGTATCCGTCCTTCTCAGCGCGCTTCCTGCTGGCCTCCAAATCGAAGTTTCGCAGGCTTTTGCGCAACAAATCGTCGCTTCTGGATCGCCGATGGTACGGCCTGGATGGCTTCTTGTCCTGCACTTTGGGCTTTACTTTAAAAACACTTTCCATTAGTGTCTGTTCCTGTTTCGGTACCAAACGCACCAACCTTTGATATCCAGAACGTCGCTTCGCGACTTTTTCAACCCAAACCCCTGCTGGGGGTCTACAAAACCATCATTATCCAGAAAACCTTCTTTGAGTAGTCGTTTAGTACTAACCTAGAGGTTTTTCAGGCTGCCGCTGGACCTTTACCTGGAACACTGGTGGGGATTTTGGCCTAAAGGCCGCAGTGTCACTGCGGCAACGCTGGATGTCTTTGAGTAGAGGCTGTGCAGACGATCTGTCGTTCAAAGCTCATGTTGAGCAGCTTGGACTCTTTCCGGTGGCGCTTACCTGCAGTTGGTGAGTTTCCTTTCCAGGTTGGCGCTTCTGGAGCGCTGCAGGAACGACGATGCCTGTCCAGACTTCCAGCTCTGCCGCTCGGTGGTTCCATTATCGAGAGTTTCCACTGCAAGATCAGGGATTAGTTGATGGTGAGGTTTGGGGGAAGCCTGGGGAATACCTAGAAGCTTTCCCTTGGAGTTGAAGAGCTGGATGGTGGGCAGGGCGATGTGGGGGGAAGATTTAGAGGTGGAAATCTCCCATTTCCAGTTGCGGGGTTTGCTGAGCTGCAAACAGATCACCTCGTTGACGTATCGGTCGATTTCGCTCATTTTTTGCTCCTGGGTTTGAAAAAATGTATCTTGAAGTCTGCTAAAAAGGGCTAAAAGTCAGGTTTATTGTTCTTCAATTGCACTTTTTTGCTCATGACTTGGTGAGTTTTTACATGAGATTTGCAAGCGAAAAAAATGTGAACAATTCCAGTTTTTTGAATAATTGCGCAAAGTTTGATATTTTGGAACGCAGCTCTATGCACGCTGATCGTTTTTTGTATATTTTGAGAACTATTTAGAGTTCTACAGAAGTCTCGAATTTATAAACGGCATGACCAGTATATTCGCGATATATGCTCAAACTCAAACTTGGAAAAAAATTGTTGAGAGTTTACGATTTTTAGCCCACGATTTTTTCGTTATTATTGACCCAAACACTTAAAAAATGCACATTTCAGACCTTCTCACGTCGAAAGGAGTCGATTGAGCACAAAAAATGCGTGTGAAATTTTGATTTTTGACGAAAATTTTTCCAAGCTCTACATGAACGAAAGCAAAAACTTCTTTTGCAAAAAAAAGTTTCAGTTCTGAAATAATATATATTTTTGGCACATTTTAAGGGTTTTTTGAGAGTTCACAATTTTTGGCTCACGATTTTTTTCTTATTATTGACCCAAACACCTTAAAAATGCATATTTAATACCTTCTCACGTCGAAAATAGTTGATTGAGCCCGCATGTGAACATTTTTTTAAGACTAACAAACCCAAACAAACCTAACCTAAACCAACCAAGACGAATAGAAACCTGTACAAGGCTAGCAAACTAATAAATCATGTATTTTATGCGTATTTATATAGGGTGGCCCAAACTGGGACGGCCAGATTTTAATAGTTACATATAGATAATAGCTTCTGCGCCACTGGAAAAAAATGCATGTAAAACCCCAGTTAGAAGCACCATTATTTCCTACGTTCCCCAAAAGTTACTTTTGCAAACATAAAAGCTGCCTAATTAGAATTAATTTGAAAGAGTTTTTTCAGAAATTGCGTTTTTAATCAGAAAATGTTATTTTTGTCAAAAACCGCTCATTTAAGATCTTTTCACTAAGAGCACCTTTTCAACGTAGAAATCAATGGGCTTTGGAAAAATTTGCTGCATAGAATTGCAGAACTAAAAAAGTTTTTCCGGGAAATTTGAAACATACAGGGCGTCGATAATACCACTCGAATTTGTTGAAGCGCATTTGAGGTTGCCTGAATGAGAAAACTCGAAAGTTTGGTGATCTTTGCGTTGCGTCAATTTCTGCTGGGACACCCTGTAGACGCTCTCTCAGTATCATGTAATGTCACCAAAGTATTCCTTTGGTGACAGCAAAGTTTAAAATTAACACGTTTCGCACTGTACAGGATGGCCCAAGTTTAAGCCGCATACTTTTCCAGTGGTAATGCTGATGCCTTTAAAAATAGCGCAAATTCTTTGTGCCAATATCACAACGCACATTCAGCGAAATACTGGGTGTTAAAGATTTAACTTTTTTGCAGTTGCTTTTTTGTAATTGTGCTAGACTACTGAAATTTTTGAGTGTGGGATTATTTTGCTCCTAACTGCTGCGGTAGTGCAGCAAATAGTGGATCGGGAGCATTTTTCGAAAGCCCATTGATTTCTACGCTAAAAAAGTGCTCTTAGTAAAAAGCTCTCAAATGATCGGTTCTTGATAAAAATAACATCTCCTGATCAAAAACGCTATTCCCGAAAAAACCATTCAAATTAAATCTAATTAGGCAGATTTTATAACATTTGCAAAAGTAACTTTTGGAGTACGTAGGAAATAATGGTGCTTCTAACTGGGGTTTTACATGCATTTTTTTCTAGTGGTGTAGAATCTATTCTGGTATAGCTTATAATACGCATTAAATATATGATTTGTTAGTTTGCTAGCCTTGTACAGGTTTCCATTTGTCTTGGTTGGTTTTGGTTAGGTTTGTTTGGGTTTGGTAGTCTTAAAAAAAATTCACATCCGTGTTTTTTGTGCTCAATCGACTCTTTTCGACGTGAAAAGGTCTGAAATGAGCATTTTTAAGGTCTTTGGGTCAATAATAAGGAAAAAATCGTCGGCTGAAAATCGTGAACTCTCGATGTGAGAAGGTCAGAAATGTGCATTTATAAAGTGTTTGGGTTATTAATAAGGAAAAAATCGTCGGCGAATAATCGTAAACTCTCAAAAAACCCTTAAAATGTCTATTATTCTAGCATGTTTTTCAATTAGTTCGATGCATTCCTCGCGTCCGGGAGCGGAAAATGATGCAAAATTAAAGGCATTTTGAGAAAATGTTTGTTTATTTTTTTAAATCGATCCCCACCCTTGGAAAAATTCGACAAAAATAAAAAATTTCACATGCATTTTTTTGTGCTCAATCGACTCCTTTCGACGTGAGAAGGTCTCAAATGAGCATTTTTAAGGTGTTTGGGTCAATAATAAGGAAAAAATCGTGGGCTGGAAATCGTGAACTCTCAAAAATTAACACCTCATATAATTTTTGATTTAATAATTTAAAATTTACATAATAAATTTGATTTTTTTTAACAACGGCGAGGCATCAGAATCTTTTAATTAAATCAGCCATTTTCCATATAGGGTGTTTAAGCACGGTGCTGCGTTCCAAATAGCCCACTTTTCCCAGTCTTTGGCTTTAAGTAGCCGAAATCTTCCTCGGCTAAAATATTCTTGTTTGGAGCACTTAAATTGTTTTTTAAACGCATTGGGAGCCTTAACAGTCCAAACGCGAAACGACGCATAAAAGCGCACTTTTTCAACTCTTAAAAACTCCGTTCTAGGCGGCTCACCTCAACCAAAGTGCTTCACTAATCCAATTCCAAAGACCAATCCAGGCGCTGGCACTAGAAAAACACTGCCGTTCTTATACACGCACTTTTCCCGAACTATTTCGCGCCTAACCCGAACCAACACTCATTGCCTTTTTTTTTCGTGCGGATTTTTCGCCACCAACGACAAAATAACAGTAACAAGAGAAAATGTTCGATCGAAAATACCTGACTTTTGGCAAACGGACCGCATTATTGGATCGGATCGGTGGTCGGATTTTTTGGCACCGCGACAACGAATTGGGAGTTTTGTGGACGCCGCTCAGGCTTTCGATAAAGCGCGCTCCTAGCAAGAGGAGATCGGGACGCCGTAAATAAATGGGAAATTCAGCGGGCAAATTTTCGGGTTTATCAGATGGAAAACTCCTCGCAGCACATTGTTGTATCAACTGCGTTATTTATATGTGGGGAATTCTAAAGGCGAGCTGTGTTTACTATAAGGCGCCCACGCTGTCGATCAGTCTACAGGATGAGGCAACTAAACGACAGAAGATACTAAAAAAGTAAAAACGTTTATTGAAATCAATTCTGAACAAGTGGAAAGTCGATCCTAATCTATTCCGCCTCCTGCATCAGTTGCTGCTTCTGCTGCTGAAAAAACAGCGGTTTCCGAATTTTGTCCGCATTCCCGTGAAACTTCTTGCCAATCGAGTCGCGCCTGTCGTGGATTCGCATATGCCGCACCAGCTTGTCCTTCCGCCCAAAGCTCTTGGAGCATTTGGTGCACTTGAACGGCTTGAGACCCGTGTGAGTGACCACGTGTCGGTCCAGCTCCCTCTTCCGGATGAACGACTTGTTGCACACGTGGCAAGTGAAAGGGCGAATTCCTGAAAATTTATCGGGTGAACCTTCGGCGTCTGGATAGGCGTCGGATAGTTACCTGTATGGCGCGCCATGTGATACTTCAAATTGTCGGGGGTGGAAAAAGTTTTCGGGCAAACGTGGCATCGATACGCGCGGCCTTCCGCATCTGTTGCGGATTTTTCCAGGCCGTCGCTGGAAAATGACTCGCCGGTTTGGTCTCTGCTGGGGTCGAACAGCATGGAATCTTCTCCCTGAATATTGGCAAATTTCGGGATTAACTCGATGAGTTCGAACGAAACGTTCACAGAGTGCGTACCTTGAATTCGTCCTTGATGTGCTCGGGCACACTTGGCAGGTCGTTTTCTTTCGCCTGCAAGTTGGTCTCGCTGCCAAATTCATTGTGGTTGAAGGGGTCCAGATTAATCACCTAGAATGGAGGGTTTTCACCACCAATAAAAGCCATGCCGGCAAACACTCACCATGTTTTCCTGCCGGTCGCCATCCTCCGGCGTTTTGGCCCCAATGGCCTTAAAATTCCGGTAGTCGGCCAGGCCCAAGTCGTTCCTCAGCATCTCCAGCTCATCCGACTTATCTTTGGCGTTCTGCTGAGGCCAGTGGCGCTTCTCGTGCCTTAACAGCTTGTCTTTGCGCCCGAAGGACAAATGGCAGTAGTTGCACCTGAAAGGCTTCTGTCCGGTATGGATCATGGAATGCCGATTCAAATCACCACGCGAAGTGAACGTTCTGGGACACTTGGGACAAACAAACGGCTTCGTTCCCGAATGGATGCGCATGTGTTTCGATAGGTTGGTGTTGCGTGAGAACGATTTCATGCATACTGTGCACGTGTAGGGTTTCACTCCTGAAACCGAAAAAGGGTGTAAAGCCTGCCGCGTTGGGGGCAATCAGGAAAAGCGCACCTGTATGGACAATCGTGTGTTTTCTCAAGTCGGAGCGCCGTGCAAAAGTGCGGTCGCATTGAGGACAGTTGTAGGGTTTGTCGTTTTTGTGCACACTCTTCATGTGGGCCGAGTAAAGCAGTCTGTCCGCAAAATTCATCGCACACGACACACAATTGTACGGGCAGGCTGAATTGTGAGCGGTCGTTTCGTGCTCGGTGCATTCCACCTGAAAATTAACGCACGATTATTGAAAATTATTCAGCATTTGGCGAATGCCACAAAAAATTTTCTTACTTTATCTGTAAAAGCGTGATCGCAGAACTTGCACATTGACACGTTTTTTCCATCCAGCTCTTGCATTTCCGTGTCACTTTGCCTTTCATCAGATTCATACTCGGAATCATAGTCCAGAGTGTTGGGATCCACCACCTGAAAATTTCGAGCATAAGCCAAAATGAAACGTTTCCAAACTCGCCCACTTCAGGGGGCTGATTTACCATAACGACGTTTTCTTCGGCGCAAGTGAGCATTTGGTCATAAATAGGCATCTGTGGTGAATTCGAATGATCTTCGCCATTCTCTTTGGAAATGCCGCCCAACTGGCGTAGGGTAGCATCGGAGATGAAGCACAATTGGCGGAATTCCAAGCAAAATTCGATTTTGAACAGGCATCGATGGCAAATCACGTTGGGCAAACCGTCTCCTTGGCACACCTGAAGATTTGAAAAAACAAACACATTTTCATTAAAAGTCTAGAAAAAAAATGCTACAGAAACTTACTAAAGTAACTACGCTTGCCGAAAAAGTGCTTTTTTCTAGTCTAATTGGATGACAAGAATTTGAAAGAAATCGTAAGTGTGCGGACTTTTTGCGTCCTCTGGCAACATTCGACGCCACACTCCCACTGATCAAAACCGCAGGAGTGCCAAAGGCGGCATAGATGTACTAAACGCATCAACAACAGTACAATTCGTGAGATTCAAGAGAATGGTCGCATTCAGCAGACGCTTTTTCATCGGTTTCAACGTTCCCTTTCTAATCGCTAAAGCTTGGTTCTCATGGGTCCGGAATGCTTTCAGGGGCGGATCCAGCTTTAAATTCAGGGGGGGGGATGTGAAAAAAATACAGTCTTCTGTTGTCTATGAACTTAGAAAAATTATAGTCGTTTTATTATTAAATTATAGGCGTTTTAAAAAGGGTGGCGTAAGATTATTGCAAAATTTCATGTTTTCCGTCCCGTTTTGCATGTTTTTCGGAAGAAAAATGAGCAAGAACGCTCGTTTTTACATCATTCCAAAGAGAACTAAATGGCCTTTTTAGAAACTGAACCATCGATAAGGAAATGTTGCAGTTTAGATTTGCGTGGTTTTTTTTTGAGTTGCAAAATCCACTTGTACATAACGCTGCTTTTTTCGAAGTTTCTCAAGAACCATTCGAGCCACAAAATTCGTTTTGACATCGTTGAATAGAGAATTGAAAAGTCGATTCAGTCGTAACAACGTGAGTGAGGAAATTCGAGTAGTTTTGGCGCAGAAAGCGAAATTTGAATATCAGACACTTAGGTTCAAGATTATGCCAAAATTTCATGTTTTTCGTCCAGTTTTTGCTCATATCTCGGTAGCAAAAGGTGGAAGAACGCTCATTTTTACATCATTATAGACAGAAATGAATGGCCTTTTTAGCAAGTGAACTCGATAAGGAAATGTTGGCAGTTTTCTCAAAAAATGTTTGAATTCAAGAAGTTTTGGATTTGCGTGATTTTTTTTTTCAGTTGCAAAATCCACTTGAACATGACGCTGCTTTTTTCGAAGTTTCTCAAGAACCATTCGAGCCAGAGAATTCGTTTTGGCATCGTAGGATAGAGAATTGAATGGGGGGAGGGGGTCATGACCCCCATGACCCCCCCCTGGATCCGCCCTTGAATGCTTTGCGGAAGCGGAGTGCGGAAAGTGCGCGCGCGGCCTASTATTACCATTACTACGCGCGGAAAAAATCACGTAGTTCACATGTATCCGGATTATTTTTCCGCAATCCGCCGACAGTGTTGGCATATCTTTCGGGAAGCGAGACACGATACGACTATTTTCTACATTTTTTTCTTGCCACTATTTTGAGGCGCATGAAATGAACGTTCGAAGCCAAAAGTTAAACCAGCTTTTGTCTTTGCGCGTTCTAAAAAGAAGGAAACAAAGATATCAAAATGAAAGAAGGTCGATTAGACACCGCTGAACATAATCTTTCATTGGAAATAACCTAGGTTTTCACATTCTTCCGCACGCGATGCGGAAAATATTAAAATTTGGGAACGGTCCGGATAGTCCGGGTAGGATTGGTCCGAAGATTTGCATTTTTTACTATTTATTGGTGACCAAGATTGGCCAATAGGTCGCGATATAGTACATAGGCTTGACCGTTTAGTGCAAGAATGCGGGCCACGACACCCTTGAAGAAACGTCAAATGGGATTGATGTTGTCATGCTGTCCCTATAGGGCAGTTTGCTTTGGCGCTGAAAAACGCTGCAGTTTTCCACGGTTTTAAGTCGATTTTCCGAGTTTAAGTCCCTTAGACCTTCACGCGTAAGTGATTTTGGCCGAGCCATTAGGCCCATTGGGCTCTAAACGGGGAATAAAGCCGATTTTCCTTCCGGATGACATGTGACTGACAAATGCAAGTAACGCGGCCATTTTATGCAAGGTTTTACAGTAATAAAAGGTCGTTTTATGCTCTGAGCACGTGCAACCGAGTCCCAAGCAAGCCCAGGGCTGAATAGGGCTTCGATTAAAAAGTAAAACACGTGCTACTTACCGACAAGGCTGTACAGTCGACGATTTTCTTGGCAATGCTCTTCTCGTTGCCGTGGATGTTGTTAAAAATGCCCAACATAAAACCGTCCTTTTGCAGGCAAAGGCGGCAAATAGTCGCGTAACTTCGCCAACCCTCACTGGCCGATTCCACAACACCTTCGTTCGACTCCATTTTGCGATCGGGCGCCGCTAGTTCACCGATTTGTTCCCTCGGATCGTACAAATTGTCAGCAAAACGTCGTTGTGCCGTATCGAAGCCCGGGCAACGATCAAATGTTACTTGACTAGTGTGGGGCGACGTCTCCACGTTGCAGATAGGACTGATGTCGCTCTAGGAGGGCGGATGCCTTGACTTGCGCGTGGGCCCCTCGATCCGTAGCCTTTCAGCCCGGACGTGCAGCTGCACAATGGCGGGACATTCGAATGGGATCGGCTCGACTGGGGGCTGCTCAAGGGGCGCGTAAAACTGACATTTCTGCATAAAAACGCCCTCTTAAGGAAACGATTAGACAATTGCCTGAAAAATGGGCCCTGGTAGTTGCCGAAAGTCGCACTCGATTTATTTTATATTTTACATTTATTTCCTCCAGTGGGTTCTGTGCGCCCTAATATTCGACTGTTTTTTTCTTGCGTTGCAAGCAATCAAAACAAACGGCAATCGCTACGCTCCAGTTAGGCTCTGCTATTTAGCAAAAGCATTTTTTTCGGTAAAACCTGAAAAAAAATTACTGTTCGAAACCTGCTTTATTCTTGATTTACTGACCAAATTAGGCAAAAAGCATTTTTCAACTCTTCGATAGGGGTAGCCTTAATCAGATTTTTCAGTTTTCATTGTCTGGGCGAAATGGCGAAATAACATTTAAACCGAAACAATCAAGAACATTTTCACGCCAGAATGGCGAATGAACAATTAAAACAAAATTATGAATGAAATTAATTATCAATTCACCATAAATCTGCACTGGCCACCAGAACTGTTGTATTAGAGAGTTGCTGCTGCCAAATTCAAAATAAAAAATGCATTTTGTTGCAAATGTTCGTACGCCATTTCGCCCAGACAATGAAAACGCAAACATCTGATTAGTTAAGCTACTCGTATCGAAGGGTTGAAAAAAGTTGTGTATTGGCATTCCAATTCGCCTAATGAGAGCTAGTAGATCCATGCAGAAAATAAAGGAACGCCAAACTCCTGTTCTTGATATTCCTTCCGCTAGCAGACTATGAAGGCTTTCACGGCCGGTCAAATCACATATAGAAAAGTTTTCCGCGCTTTGAGGCCGTGGTCCATGCGAATCTCTTCCTGACGTTTCGACCACAACTTCGATGGGCATTATCAAAAGCTATGATCTAGAAACTTTTCAAAAATATTTTTTCACCTGAAGCCCGTTTTGGTAGCTATGCTGCCATTCTCATTCTTCTCATTTGACAAGTTTCGACAAAATAGTAAAACTCGGTTATCTTATTTTTATTTTTTCCAAATTAAGTTATTTAAATCAAACATTTTGTTCAAATCAAATATCTTGTTTGTTCTTTTTTCAAAAGTACTTTTAAAAACCACTTAAAAATTCGAAAAACAGAAATTTAGGGACATTAAATTATCTACCGTTTTTTCTCTATCCATTCTACCGCTTTCGAAGTTCTTGGTCTGGCAACGCTGAGTTGAACCAGTCTTCAAAGGCGATGAGGCAGTGGGCGAAGTGATCTCCCGTGCTTTCCGCTTTAAGACTGTTTCAACTACTGGATCCCCTATTGTATTTATGCGGCGACAGGGGATCCATTTTTGAATCCGCCTTTGAAGACTGGTTCAACTCAGCGTTGCCAGACCTTCGAAGAACCTCGAAAGCGGTAGAATGGATAGAGAAAAAACGGTAGATTTAAAAATAAAACGGTAGATAATTTAATGTCCCTAAATTTCTGTTTTTCGAATTTTTAAGTGGTTTTTAAAAGTACTTTTGAAAAAAGAACAAACAAGATATTTGATTTGAACAAAATGTTTGATTTAAATAACTTAATTTGGATAAAATAAAAATAAAATAACCGAGTTTTACTATTTTATCGAAACTTGTCAAATGAGAAGAATGAGAATGGCAGCATAGCTACCAAAACGGGCCATATATCCAAAATATTTTTGAAAAGTTTCTAGAAAGTAGTAAAATTCGATTATTCTATGTTTTTTTGTCTTCAATTCCAACCTTAAAGAATAGTGATAATTTGAAATGAAAAATAATAGTTCCTTTGTACATAAGTTTTACCTATCTAAAAAATAAATTATGACAATAAAATTTAAAAGATTTAATCAAAAACATGTTTTATTTCTTCAATTTATTCACCAACCACCTCGATTGATTTGCCATTATTTATTCAAATAATCCCACTCTCAGATTTTAGCATTGGGAGGAGTTTGAGTCGGGAAGAATTTCGGAGAGTAACACAGGTGTGTTACAACACAACACATGTTACTAGAGAATGGCCCGAAATTGTCGAAATGTCTTTGCCTGTTGGGTGGTCTTTTCGACCTCCCAAGACTCACAAATTATATTGCAAATATTTAACGTAACATTTTAACGGTAGATTCTTATAGCTTAACGGTAGGGCGGTAGCACCCACCCTGAAAACGGTAGACCTGGCAAACCTGGTTCAACTACTGGATCCCCTGACGTATTTACGCGACCAGGCCGTGTGAGCTCATGCGTGGGGAGTGGGCGGGGTTCAATTGTTTCGGCGCACAGGCTGTTTGCCGCAAAACGCGTTTCCAATCTGGATTAAGGGCCGTTATCTCTTCTTTCCTATTCAAATTGTTGTCATGTTTAAGGATCTCAATAGCCGCTCTGGTTAGTCTCGGGTAATACCGTTGAGATTGGTGCAAAATGTCCACTTCATCGAAACGTATTTGGTGCCGATATATGCTTTGCCACAATTGCATGGAACTCTGTAGACTCCTGGTGCTGATAAAGGATCCCGTTTGTCCTTGGCCGATCTCAGTCTGTTGGATTGTTCGAGTTGGTTTAAAAACTACTTTGGCTGTGTTTCTCCAGTATCCTGCCGATCCTGTCCGTGACTTCATATATGTATGGGAGTCAAGCCCAACCCTTACGCTCATCATGCGTATCTGTTCTCTCAGGACAACCTCCACTGTTTTTTGGTCGAATTGCTCTATTAAACACGTTCTTGCTGTATCCATTCCAACCAAAGGACCAGGGGGTTCTTCCCTTAATGAAAATGAAAATAAAAAAATCATCACTTAACGAACCAACTTTCTTTATTGAATAAAATGCAGCACAACACTAGCAAAATTAAAAAAAAAATAACGCGTTTCAATTGGCCGGGGGGTTCACATTGGCATCGTGACCACGCCTCGATCATCAGCTGGAGCTCCAAGGGTTTCGCTGCGCCTCTCACCTGTTGCCCTTGCTTTTCTTCCATTTCCCGTAGAAACTGGCAATCGGTTCAAGTACAATTCCCACTGACTTTGCCAGACCCGCGTAGCTAAACTCTTTGTTGTCGCCGCTGTTCAGCGGCGTGCTGTGACTGGCGCCAATCAAGCAAGTCACCACGTTCGAGGCGTCCTTTTGCTGATCGGTAAAGTAGTGGCAACACTCGATGATCTGGATGTAGACGTGCATCTCCTTGCCCTTTTTCTTCGGGTATTTCACGTAGGGAATGGGGGTCCGTTCGTTGGGACGCTGCGACCTGAAGAATCGGTTTCCCCTGTGGAATTGCGACTCCAACCAGCGAATGGCGTCTCGGGCTTCAATTTTATCCTTCTTCAAGTCGTCCAAAGCCGAAACCACTGGAAGAGCAAAGGCAAGGGGTTGAATTGTGGGACGAGGAATTTTGTTGTGACCACTCACCAGCTGCGGGCACAATCAAGATGAACTGGCGCGAGTAGACCAGTTGCTTCACCATATGCGTGGATTTAATAAGAGCGTCGGCATCCACTACCAGGTATGGGGAAAGGGCGACTTTGGTGCCACCCACCCGGGTTTCCAGGGCGCGCACCTCCGCAGCCAACCACAGATGGCCCATGTGCTTCATCTTCATCTTGCTCATTTGTCCGCCGTTCTCCGGCTTAACGTCCCCATTGGTTTTGGCTACCGCCGAACTTTCATCTTCGCGCTCCTAAAATTTCACGCAATTTAATCACTGCTACGTGCTAAGTGCCTTGCAAACTCACCAGTTCTTCCATTAAGGCTGCGGCCGATAGGCCTTGTTCTTCTTCGTCGTTTTCGCTCAGCTTGCACGTGAACACGTTGCTGTTCTCATCGTAGTTGACTGCCGTCTCCTGGATCTTCGACAGGAACTTGCCGAACGAAATAATCTTCAGAATGCGAATTGTGGCCTCTTCCGTACTAGTCACATTTTTCTTCAACAAATAGTCCCAGTCGTATTCCTTCTGGGCGTCCTGGACAATGTCGATGCCCTTGAGCACAACGTCTTCAGTCAGTGGCATTTTGTGCTCTCCCTGGATCAGTTCCGCAATCTGGAACTTTACGTCGTGAACCTTGGCCAGGTTGAGATTCACCAGATTGCTTAGGGAAACGATCTGCTTGATCAGCGTCTTGGTGTTGGAAGCGCACGATTTGATGATCTCCTGGCTGGATTTCAGCCAATCGTTAACGGCGCGGATGCTTTGTAACAGTCCCTCTTCATTGATAATCTCCAGCATAACATTCACATCCATTCGCTGGACTTTCTTCAGGATGGACGTCATGTTCTTTGGCTCGTCGAGGATCTTTCGTTTCGTAAAGCCATTGCGCTTTGATTTATCGCCTGGAAGCTACACACAACTTATTCAATGACCATTAGTGTCTTTTTTTAACGTTTAACTACCTTAATGACATCGAGCTCTTCGTCTGAGGACTCCACCACCCGAACATCTTCAGCGTCGGAAATGAAAGAATCGTCCGAGCTGCTGCAGTCCAAGGCGTCGTTTTCGCTCAAGTCCGACTCCTCATCGCTCTCAGTTCTGAGCACTTTTCGTCTCCTTAGCTTAGAAATGGATTTTTTCTTGCTCAACTGCATCATCTCCTGGAAAAGCAACATTCCATCAAATAACGCAGTTTCCATGGCATCTTTCACTCACCTTAAGAACGCCATCAGATTTCCTACTGTCGTCTGAAAGCGGATAGTTCAGCACGGCTTCTTCAATGTGATTGACCATTTTCATGATAATCTGCGAATAAATGCTGAGAGTAAAGGCGACCAGGGTGGACAAAGTGGGCGAATTGATCGAGTGTAGCTTGGAAATGGCCAGCAGGCAAATGAGCACCACTCTAGAACAAAAAAAAAACAGTCAAAGTCCAAATCAAACTTTCCAATCAAAGTTCAAGTACCGGAAAATCATTTGCCCAGTTAAGTTGCTGGTGTCCAAGTCGATTACAGTTGTTGGTGAATCACCAGACTCGCTAGCCGTGGGCTTTGCAAAGGTCAGACACTCTTCCAAGTTCTTGCAGGTCTGATGGCACAGACTGTAGACGTTCGGCACCTTTTTCTTGAAGTACCAAATGTCGATGAGTAGCAGGAACCTGCAAAATGGTGACGGGAAATTAGTAAATACTCCGGTGGTTTGGCTCGATAATAAAGAAACTATTATACTAAAAAACTACTATATTATTCAACACTCACCTAGCAATGAATCTCTTAATAGTCTCCGACTTTTCCGGCTCGATAATACAGTCGGCGTCCTCATCGATGCTGGGCAATTGTTCGATGAACTTGGAATTCTTCTCGAACAGATTCTGCAGATTGTTCGATGTGCCCTCAAAGGGCATCTTGCAGGCCAGACATCGCATGTAGTAATAAACGGCGTCCAGTAGATTGTGCTGATGCATTGCAAGGGTGCCCATCTGGTTGTAAGGCATGCCGGATTCTGGCCGGAATGTTGCCGCCTGCAAATAGTAGCGAGTGGCAGCTGCTGAGCCCAAACTAGGCTCCAGCTCCTGTCGATATCTGGATAAATCCCCCATGTAGATCAGGCACTGATGGATTGCCTGTTTGGCCCATTGCTTCAGCTCGGGAGTCACTTCTGAGGCCTCAGCATCATCCAGTAGCATGTCGCAGTCGATCACGTTGCTCAAGGGGATTTGGAACTGGTAATTCAGCTTCAGCAGCATGTGATGGTAGAAGCCGATGCCTGGAAACACAAAACCAAATTCCAATCTTCCAGAATCAACTAAGCGGACTAAAAAGTTCCACCTGAGTTAATGTGGGACTGAATGCTGCCGATCTCTTCGCTGCTAAGTTCCGCCTTCTTCAGTTTCTTCGCGGTGTAAATTACTTCGTAAAACCCTTTACGCCATACTAGTTCTTCGCCACGGCGGCCATAGAGCAGAGGTTCGCAGAAAATCAACCGGTCGCAGTAGTCGCAGAATTTCCGGCGTTGAGCCTGCAGAATGGGCGTGAAAAGGTCCGAGATGGTGCGAACGCAGCTGCGGGCATCGTCCAGCAGTTTGGCTTGTTCGCCTATGATCCTGCAATGGAAATAAATACAAAAACTGCTAGAAAAACTCACCGGACGACATACATGGCTCCAAACTGTCAGAATGGGCCACCTGCCTTTAAACATGTCAGAAAACCTGTTCATTGTACACGTTTAAAAGCAGCTCATGTGGTGTCAATAGGGCAGTGCCCCAGAGCCCCCAGTGCATGCACAGGTGTGAGAATCTGTGCATACTACTGCCACATGGCGAGGAACGCGATGAAAACTCACCGATAAAGTTTTTTTGAGAGCTCTTGGCTCTCTTTTTGTTGAATATCAGTCGGGTTATGGAATTTCTTCATTTCAACTCATCTTCTCCTTCGATGGTCAAGAATTCCTCAAAATACTTATGCGTCGGCTGCTGTTCACGATCGAAATTTCCAAAATACTCATTGTACCATATTTACTATCTGAATTATGATCTTTTAAAACCATCACAATTCTTATCAAAGTCCATAAAATAACAGTTGACATGAGACGGGCGCCAACCGAAGCTAGCCAATCTTCTCCGTAAATCACGCGAATACTTTGGCACCACCGCAAATGAGGCTGCAAGAAAAGATCCACTGTGAAATTTTAGTGACAACCGTGTTTTTTTGCTTAAGCTATGTCTTAGTGGAAAATATGCTGGGCAGGAAATAATTCGCAAATAATTTATATATAAATATGTGTGGCACTACTGGCATTTGGTTGATTCCTGACAAAGGCGAATGGGCCCAAAAAAATTAACAGAACTTTTTGCAAACAGTGAAAGGGTAAACTCCACATGGGTATTTGTTGAATTTGAGTGTAAGCAATTTGCATAAATACACCGAATCCTGAATTGCAAATAAAATTACCTAGTTAATAAAAGCAGGAATTCCTGACGAAGGTCAATGAGCTGTTAAATAAAAACGGTAAAAAACAGTAAATGAGTTAAACGCATTGCAATAAGGAACGATCACCTCAAAATTACCAAGCAAATATCGCGTATTTTAATTTTTTTTTAAAGCCTTTAAAGTCCTACGAAGACTTCAGTTGACCAAAGAAAACTATATTGTCATGCTGGGAATTTTTCTCGCAAAAAACTAGAACATTGTGCGGACCAGAGCAGGTCATCCGAAAAAAGAATGTCTGCAACTTATAAATTCATGGAACAACAGTCTGCAGGACATCACGTTCCAACAGGACATCCTCTGCTGGCTTCTGGACGTGATTTCCATTTTACCTGAGAACCTAACGGTTGCGTAGCGTGAAAAAGCACATTTAGAGGATTTTATTTGAAGAACTTCCGTCCAATGGCACAGTCATTAACAGTCTCTAGAACCCAACCTCGTTGGTTGTTCTGTTTCGTAACTAGTCCATCCTAACAGGACCCGGTGACTTTGAGGCATTAAACTGTTATATAACTGCTTCACTTGCCCCTATATGCCATTAGCATGTCTACAGCTATTTAACCATTTAGAGGAATGTTCCATCAAGGCTAATGGCACATATTAGAAACACCCGAAGAATGCTCCCTAATGAAGCCTTAAATCATTGATCACGTTGGATTATTAAGTGCCAACTATCGCCTTGAAGGAGGACAACTTTTCGCGCTTCCAAAGGCACTTTTTCGACGGATTTGTGAGAATGCAAGCGATTTTTTTCAAACGGCAATGCCAACCAAGATCATTTCCTCGTCTGTTACTCATTTAGTTTGACCGCACCCTTTTACCTCGACCACCTTGATCCGAATCCTTCGGTGTTCTTTGCAACCGGAATGTGTACCTGATTTTCATTGGAATATTGATGGAACGAGATGCGGATTTTCTCGAGAAAATGTTGGAAAGTCGAACAGATTGAATTGGATGAGTGCATTGAACCGAAACGTCTGTGTGAAAAAAACATTCTCTATTTGGTAATAAGCACGACCAAGAGAGCGTCTTTTGCATGTTAAAATCGACGGCAGGATTATAATATGCATACTGATCAAGTACAGTAGTCAGATTGATGACAAAATTCTACTAGAAAACGCTATGAATGCATGCATACAGGCGATTGTTTGGCATTTTTCTGCTGTCTCTTTTGCAATCTTCCCATGGGGAAACTTACGTTGAACCGCAGCTTTTTTACGCTTAAAGTAAAAAAAAAAAAACATTTCGCTTTCTTGGTCTCGGTTAAGGACAAAACTGTGTCTACCAGTTAATAAAAAAAGTCTGAAAATTCGTCCGAACAAGTCACAAACATCAAAATGTTCGTTAAAAACTATACTCTTCTACTACCAGTTAGAAGATGGTGCGATTTAAATTGAGGAGAAGGAACTAAAATTAACGTTTACCGCATGTTTTCTAAAATGTTCTTCAAAAACGGCCAAAAATACCACAAAAAAGAAAAACTGTGTGGTTGTAAAACGGATCTCACTCTATAAAATGGTGAAAAAGAGGAAACCGCTAAGTCCACTAGTTAAGAAGGAGTGTGCAAAAAGAAATTGCTGCAAAAAATCTTGCAATATTTGATGAAACCAAAGTACGCTTGATTTTCAAAAAAAATCATTTTGAAGACTGATACTGAAACATGGTTTCAGTACTCACCTAGCAGATTTTGTTCGGTAAGAAAAGAACATTTGACTCTCCAGCTCAACTCGTTAGCGTCCACGAATTTTTTGAAAACATGCCATCCAACCTTGAGAAAATAAAACGCGCTTTGCATTCCTTTATTCAAAAAAATCCAATAACATGACCAAAAATGTCCCAAAAGTGAAAATTTCCGTGCTCATAAAACCGACTAGACTCGATAAAATGGCGAAAAAAGATGCTCACTAGAAATTTTAGTTAAAGAAGAGTGTGACTTTGAAGAAATGTCTGCAAAATCGCAACACTTCTGATGCTTCGTTTTTTGGAAAAATCCCAAAAATATGAGCAAAAATAGGGCAAGCAAAATTTTTCTTTCAGAACTTATTACGTAGACTTTGTTCTGTAAAACAAAAGAACGCTTGCCTCTCTAGCTCAACCGGTTAGAGTTAACAAATTTTTTGAAAACATGCCATCCAAACTTGCGGGAATAAAACGCATTTTGAATTCCTTTATTAAAAAATTCCCATAACTTGACCAAAAATTACCCAAAAGTGAAAATTTCAGTGCTGATAAATTCAACCTGCCTCAATGAAATGGCGAAAAATAATTCTCAGTAGAAGCCCTAGTTAAAGAAGAGTGTGACTTTGAGGAATTTCCTGCAAAACTTCAGCTCGGTTGATGCTTCTTTTTTTAGAAAAAATCTTAAGATATGATCAGAAATAGTGGAGCCAAAAAAATGTTATTTCATATTAGGCAGACTTTGTACTGTAAAATAAAAAACATTTGACTCTCCAATTGGATCGGTTAGAGTCTACGAAGTTTTTTAAAAAATGCCATCCAAACATGCGGAAATATTACGCGCATTCCTATATTCAAAAAATTCCCATAACATGACCAAAAATGACACAAAAGTGAACATTTCAGTGCTGATAAAACCGACCTGACTCAATCAAATGGCGAAAAAACATTCTCACTAGAAGCACTAGTTAAGGAGGAATGTGGCTTTGAAGAAATGCCTACAAAACCTCAGCACTTTTGATGCCTCTTTTTTTAGAAAAATTCCTAAAATATGAGCAAAAACAGCGCAATAAAAAAATTCCAGTTCTCAGGTAGACTTTAGTCTGTAAAATAATAGAACATATGCTGTCCAGCTCAGCTCTGCTCAGCTTCAGACTGAAAAGCGCATGTAAAACCTGATGACTTTAAAAACGACCAAGGCAATCAACTCTCGGAAAAATTCCCAAAACATGACGAAAAAGGTGGAAAAGCTGAAATTTTGCAGCGATCACGCAGCCTTTGGTCTACAAGCGTGCAAAATTCGACTTTTTAGGCGCTCCAATTATGGTATGGCACCTCTGGGTCTTTAGGAAATAAAGTAAAGACCATTTTCCGCTCAAACAATGATGGGCTTCTTAAACAGTTTCAACATTTTGCTGAAAAAAACATGTAAAAGTCTTTCTTGAACCAACTAATCTAATTCCATTCTTCTTCTGAATCAGACTCAATAAATTGTCGAATTTTTCGAAAATTTCGAAACGAGTCCCATAATGATAGAAACTCGAAGCCTGCTGAACCGTCTTGAATAAGTCCAACTATTACGGAATGTTTATTATAGTACACTGGCAAATTTGGGTGTGGTGCGATCACCATTGAAGTGAAAGTGAACGAACGAGAATATGAATAACTTGATTTTTTTGCGATGGGCCCCAGTGGGATCTTGAAGGCCGCAGGGATGGCCGAAGACCTCGACAATGTCCACTCTTCACTCGCTACGATCAGGAACCGTGAAACGTTGACGTGAAGAAATGAAGAAAAGCGAAAACGAAACGACCAACCGGTTGGGACAGTTTCGGCATTCCTGCCACATAGAAGGAAATTTTTCGAGAAAGAAGACGAACCTGCTTGCGTGGTTTAAACCACTATTCAACCAAGACTGGTTGCTTGTATTGACATACTGAGCCTGTAAACCAGTCTGAATATCTCGGAACGAGTTTTACTTTCATTCGGCATATTTTTAATATGTACTAATCGATGTTCGATTAGGTCGTGTCGAAATCGGCGCTTATTTATTTGCTTTAAGCTCCAAGTGGCAAATTGATGAAAAAATGGAAAAAATAAACGTGGATGCATGTTGTTTAGGTGTAACTTTTGGGAAAGTTCTGCCGATCTAAGTCGTTCAAGGACTGTTTGGTAGTTAAGCTAATCGATTGAACTTGGTGTTTGAAATGTCTGCATTGCGCCAGATTTTTTGCTTGTTTTTTCTGGCTATTGCTGTTCAGGACATTTAAAGAATTTCTCAATCCAAATTCAGTTCTTTGCTTCACAAAATCTCGTAAATATTAAGACTCAGGATGCACGCGTTGAGGAGGAAACGGCCTTCGAAGACACGTTGTCGAAACTTGTTCAACGCGGATTCACTTGCGAAGAAAAGCCAGAGAAGCGGCAAAAATACAGCATAAGTGCCAGTTCCTGTATTAGTCAGCTCTATTCAACCAGACTGTGTAGTAAATAATCAAGTATTTAGCTTCATCGGCTGGGTCCGAAAAGGCCTTTGAAAAACCACTTGTCGAACGCTGAGAGCTGAACTCGTTCGTCACGTTTTTTTGAAAAATTCCCTAAATCAGGCTAAAACTGTTACAAAAACCAAATTGTCGGGAATTATAAACAAGATTTTGCTCTCCGAGATTTTATAAAAATCCAGTAATTAGAGGCAATAGTTAAAAAGGAATCCGTATTGGAATACATGCTGGCATGAAGTCCTTGCACTTCTTGCAATGATTGATTCAAAAAATTCTCAAAATTATACCCGAAATGCCACAAAAATGCAACTATGAGGGTTTATAGAAGAAAGTTTACTCTATAAAATTGTAAAAAATATTTATTTGGCCGAAATGGGAGAGGAGCAATAAGGCATTGAAAATCCACTCAAGATGTTAATGTTAAAATTCATCGGCAGAAGTTGACACACAATATTGAGGTTGTTCTTTCAAAATGCTTTAGATTACGCAACAAATGCAGCATAAATTGAACTTTTATCACTTATAAAACAAGCTTTACGACATAAAATCGTTCAAAAATTAGCCCTGTAGAAGCATCAGTGTGAGAGTAATGGGACTTTGAAACAACTGAGCGAAAACGTATTGGGGGCAACAGCTTGGAACCTTTATACAAAAATAGAGAAAAAATTGTTTTTTTTGTGATCTATAAAGCAGAATCTTCTCTAAAAAACTTCTAAAACTTGACTCTTTAAGTGAACCGCCAATTTTGAAAATATGCTGTCGACACATAGTTAAAATAAATCACAATTTTGGGAAAAAATTCCAAAATTTGTCTACACCTGCCATAATAATCCTACTCCCTTATATAATCTAAGAGAAGAAAGAATCTATTAGACACATTTTTTTCCACCGAATCGAACGAGGAGCTGAAGAATCGGATTTTTAAAATACGCCATTGAATTTTCTATTTTGGTCGCCAATTTTTTCAAAACCCACCTAAGCTGAACTAAACACTTTTAAAAACTCAAATTTTGAAACTTTTCTCTAAAAAAATCCCCCTGCAATGAATTCTTTAAATGCATCAGTGAAGGAGGAATGGGGCTTTCAAAACATGCCCTCCAGGCGTATTGAAAAAACAAGACACTTTGAATTCGTTAGTTCAAAAAATTCCGCAAATCAGACCAAAAGCGTTGGGCGAATAAAACTAGCACTTATTATACAAAGCTTTGCTCTATAAAAGTGTGAAAACAGTGACTTTCTAGGCCTAGCCTACTAGTTGGTGTGGAATGCGACTTCCTAGAACACTCCTGTGGAAACAATTGCCAAAGAATGCCCTACTTATGTTGCGGGAGTTAAATCTTCAGCACTGAAACTTTAACGAGTGTTTGAAAGTATTACAGGAAGAGCTGGAAAAAACCAAAGATTTTCCTGTAAATGACACAAAAAAATCCTTCAGATAACTTTATCAGCAATCCAAATGGAGATTAGTGTTTGCATCTGGGCCATTCTCCACGCCTCCCATTGTTGCAACTTGCCAAAACATCTGAGATCGACTTCACGCGCTTTGCGCATGAAACAATAGAATAACAAACGAAAAAAAATGAAAAAAACACCACACCAACTCGATTAGTCAATGAAAATGCAAACGAAAAAAGCCTTGACGAGCCTACTTGTCACCAATGGGCAACACCCGTCCTATGCAAGGCTCATTACCGAGTTTACTGGGTTTTCTTGACCCAAAAAAGCCTGCTAGAGGCGGATTTCAGTCCTCAAATGCCTCAAATCGTCCTATTGAGAAACTGAATTCAAATCTCTGCAACGCATTACACAAGAGATCATCCTCCGCACATCAATAGTGAAAGTGATTTGCTAATGGACTATTTGAACTTTAGATGCGCATCTTCGTCTTAATTAGTTGTTGAATAATTCAACGGGTGCTTGAGCAAATCACACGGCTAGCGGGTAGAGGAAAATTCGTTTTTTTCGGTTTTTTTTTGCAATTGCTAGTAAATTTTCCTTGTTTTCTTCTTCAGCAGCTGAAACCCAAATGCTTTTAACGATTAGCGACAATGTATGTGCAGAGGCGCAAAGCCGGCCACGGTTTCTTCGGCGACGCAGGAAAGAGTTAAAGGCAGCAGGCGGGGGAAATTGGTGCGGCCGTTAAAAAGCCGACTTTAGCCGGATGGTGCCTAGTTGATCGTTTTTCCTTAAGACAATGAAGAACTTCGTGTGTATTCTTGTGCTCAGCGCACTTACCTTTTCTGGTAGGTAACACGTGATTGTCCATTAACACCATCCATCCATCTATCCATCATCCAGCCATCGAGAAAAAATCAAAGAACAATCGGGTTCAAGTGAACAGTGTCGCGGTTCGCGAAATTAGTGCCAGCTGTGGATGCGTTTGAAATTTTGTTTTTTTCTCGATTGCCGGCTTTTCATTTGTTGTTTGCCAGTGTTGAGTGTTTGGATTTTGGGGGCGCTTTCCAGTCTCGAAACTTCGTTTTTCCGATCATTTGCCCACAAAACCAGCCAAGGGAAAGTCGAAAAACATCCAATGCATGGCATATGGTCAGATTGCTTTGCGCGAGAGAGCGCTCCCAAATTGACCCCTTTCACCACTTAAGCTAAATTAGATACTTAAATGTTGCATTTTATGCTGGGCAATTTAAAAAAATTTTTTTTTCGGTTTTTGGTTTGTTTTCCCCCAATTTTCTAACGCTTCTTTCGCAAATTACCCAACTTTCCCGTTTTTGCGCTCTGGAGGGTTGTAATAGTTAAAAGTAGGCCATCGGGTACATTGTGGTAAGTTTGTGATTTTTCCGAAAAACTTTTTATTATATTTATAAGTTATTTTATAAGAAATACCATTGAAAAGGCAAAAGTGAAGGCTATTAATCGCGCCAAGCCTCAAATTGCATTACTTTCGTTCGATTTACATCGTACAAGCCGCTTGGTTTGATGAATTGTTCAATTTGCGTCAGTTTCAAGAAAATTTAATTGAAATAGGACAAAACGGTAATTTTATCTGAATTTTTTTATGCCATATTAACGCCAATTTCTTGAGATCCTGACAAAACACGCAGTATTTTTAATGTACTTTTAAAGGCACAATTCACGCAAGTTAAAAAAATTATTCCTTCACCAAAATTGAAGAAATAGCTGAATTTTCATCGCTTGACAAAATTATAGCTAAAGAAAAAATGTCGATTATTCATAACAAAGTTGCTCAAATCCTGAACTTCCTGCTAATTTATTAAATTTACTAAAGAGCAAATTTGATTCGAACATGAACAGATCTTTCCAGGAGTTGCTGAAAAATATTGGCAGAAAAAAAAATTCGTGCCTCGAAAGGAAAGCATGTGCAGCCTTATAGTTCCTACAGAATATAGAAGACACATTAAAGTTATATTTTGTGCAAATCGTATCAGAAACCAAAGAAAGGGTAATTTTTTGCATATTTTTAAACCTTCACTAGTCATCGACACTCACCGCCTTATAAAAAAATTCCATACTTACAAAATAAAGCAGGCAAAATCTTGTAATTTAAGCAGTGCATAAAAGATACTTTGGAGAATAATTACAAGAAAGTTCATCAGAATCCAACAAAAAGTTGATGATGATTTGCAAAATTTGAAACGTGAATTGCAAACCCATCAAATAAAATTTGTCAACTTTCCGCCACTCCAAACTAAAACATGTACAAACGTGTAAGTTTAGCAGTATATAGAACATAGCTTGAGGTATATTTCCTGCAAATTTCAACTGAATTTAATAAACGGTGGGGGTTTGAGGAATTTTTAAAAGCGCATTTGAATCAGACAACGGTAGAGTTACACAAAAATGTATCCACTCCAAGATAACGCATGTTGAAACTTGCAGTTTCCGGTGTGTATATATGAAGGCTTGACGTATAACTTAATGGGAATTAAAAATCGACGGATGCAGACTTTGCAAAGACATTATCGCTACTCCAAAGTAACCGACAGCAAAATTTGAATTTTCTGGACTTTATAGAAAACACTCTAAAATATATTTTCTGCAGATTTTAATAGGATCAAACGAATGGCTGAATCTTTAAAAATGTTCAAAGTGCTGAAAATCAACAATGGCAGACTAACAAAATCCAAAAAAACTCCAAACTGAACAACGTAGAAAGTTGCACCATATTTTTGGTACCATATAGAGGACCCTTTTAAAAACATTTCCTAAAAATTTCTCAAAGCTCGAACAAAATGTCGAACTTTAGAACATTTTTAAAGGCGTATTTGAAATACACAATGCAACAACTTTCTGCAACATAAATTTTGGCTTTAAAGTCTAGTTAGGAAGCAGAGATTGAGCATTTCAGAATAGTATAGAAGATCTTGAAGTCACATTCCCTGGCAAGTTTTTCAGAATCTAGCAGTAGGTTGTTGAAACTGACAATTGCAGCCTTAAAAAAATCTTTAATTTGAAAAAAAAAACCGAACAAATTTGTATTTTAGCAGAGTATAGAGGACGAAATAATAAAGTTTTGAAAATTCTTTAAAACGGCAATATAGATATAGCGACAGTCTTTTGAAAAAAAATTGCTAAACTCGCAAGCGAAACTTGAAGTTACTGGGAATTACAGCAGGATACTTAGGAAAGTTCCGGGTACATTTCGTGGAAATCCCAGGGACGTTCAAATAAAGGCAAAACCACCACATTGATAAAACTGGGCGATGCGCCCAAAACAACTCCTTGTGGCTTGTGAAGCAAATTCCTGCATATTAAGGGAAAATTGAATATTCTACTGAATGGTCCAACTCATCTAGCAACCTTTCTTAAGCATCCAGTCACCTTTAGGATGATTGGATGATGATTCACGGTTACACAACGAAACCGCTGAAGAAAAAAGCAACCATAAGTATGCGGGAAATGCAGCGGCGGCGACAATCCTTCGCCTCCAAGCCCACAATGATAATTGTTGTCTTATTTTTTCACATTGCGCCAGTTGGCTTATGCAAATCGGATGTCGCAACACCATGCAGCCCATTTGGTGTCCTCATGGGTTTCCATCGTTTGCTTAAGACATTCGACATGGGGAAATTGAAAAAAACGACGAGTGTCCGATGCAAAATTCCTCCGAGCCCAACAGCATTCGTTCTTCTGCGTTATTTGGCATTTGTCCAATCAAGGCCAACCAGGAAACGTTCTTACTACGTTCGTTTATTGTTTATTTATTAAGCGTGGCCGATTTCTCGACTCGTTTCGTTTCACGTGAATTGCCAGCTAAATTCCACCCAACTGGTTTGTTCGAGTCTTTTACGACTTTGAGCCTTGGGGGGTTGGTTAACGCAGCCTCAAATCATCAGCTGAATACTTTTCAGAAAACCCAAACGCACCTAAACAGGCTGAGAATCGGCACCATTAATTCATTGGTTGACATTTCAGAAAGGTGCGCATACAAAAATGGAAAGTGGCCAAATTGTTACTCAAAAACTGGTTAAACTTATGTGTGTGTGTACAACATGTGTTACGACACGCTGTTTATTCGCCTTTTGGTAATTATTCAACGTCGCTTTCAAGCGAACCATGAAAGTTCTTGGTACCATTTTGCGCGTTGTCAAGCTTTTAGAAATCTTGCCAAAACTTTCCAATTTTTCCACCGCTCTATCGGTGCGCAATTTTTTTTTCCATCTTTTTCTTTATGCAAACTGTGACCTTTTTTTTGCTTTTCAGCCAATGCGCAGGACAGTTTCAAATGCCCGGACGATTTCGGATTCTACCCACACACCAGATCCTGCGACAAGTACTGGAAATGCGACAACAATGTGGCCGAATTGAAAACCTGCGGAAATGGACTGGCCTTTGATGCCAGTGATCCAAAATACTTGACAGAAAACTGCGACTACATCCATAATGTTGAGTGCGGCGATCGTGCCGATTTAGGTAAGTTTTCATCAAACATTTCCCATCAGTCCTGGTACAACGATTCCAGGCTCCGTTTCCATAGAGCTCGGCACTACAGCGCGCCCTTATTTGCTACAGGCGTGGCTTGCCACCGCTTGCGCTACCGGGAGTGCTCTAAAATGCTTTAGTGTGCGTTCACGATTAATTCAATTAATGCCCGATTTGGGTTAGCCGGCAGGAGGCGTGAACGATGTGAACGAACATTTGTCGTGTTTGATAATCAGACCTCGCAATCGATTACTCAACCGCATTTGATTGGTGCAAATATCGGTGATTTATGCCAATATGATTTTTACCGAATGGTATGGTTATGCAAGATTGGTCGCCGATATGTTGAAGAAAGCTGAGACTGTGCCCAACCCTTCTGGTACCGATTCGATCTTTGTGAGGAGTTGGCAATTTTTAAAGAAAGGTTAAGTAATCAGCAATTTCCCGCTCTTACTAAAAGGCTTCTAAAAAATTGTTGAGAACCCAAATTTTGCTCAACTTTCGTTAATTTGATGCTAAATGTTTAGTTAACGCCCTGCAGAATTTTATTCGAAGTTTGTGAGGAGTTGCGATTTTTTACAAAAAGTTTGGGAAATCAGTCATTTTCCGGTCTTGTTTAAGGGCTTTTTGGCCGGAAGACCGGTTGAGAGTCTAGATGTGCTCCAATTTGGTCCGTAGAAATTTTTAATCTCTTGGAGGTTTTGCGGAGATGTGATTTTTGAGCAATTTGTCGTTGCGCCCGCTTGTATCGTTGAGAGCTCATTGTACCCAAATTTGGTTAGATTGACACTCCATTCTTCGCGCGCTCAAAAAATCGTTGACGCCTCAGATCTTGCCCAAATTTGGTCAGTTGGGATCCTAACATTTAGTGAACGCTCTGGGTAAATTTCAGAGCTTTGTTGCAACTTACCTCTTTTCCAACTTCGCTTTGCAATGCAAGTTTCACTCCTTCAAATGATATTCAATTGTGCAAATTAAGGAAAGCAAACCAAAAAGTTTTCTAGTGTTTCGTGCGGTTTGCGCTTGAAACAGTGCCGACACAACTGTGCAATTGACTTAGCAGATCATTGACCCAATTGATCACAGTGTTCAGTCAGTTCAAACAGCTTTCCGACCAACCAGATGGCAGAAAAATCCATTAACATTGTTCCTTATTCCAGAACCTCCAATCTCCACCACCCATTGCGAACGACTGTACGGTATCTTCGCTGATGAGGCCAAATGTGACGTGTTCTGGAACTGTTGGAACGGCGAAGCTTCAAGGTAGGACAGGAACCCAACCATTGCCCGATTCTACTTAAATCCTATTGCCTCTTTCCAGGTACCAATGCTCACCTGGATTGGCCTACGATCGGGAATCGCGCGTTTGCATGTGGGCCGACCAAGTGCCAGAATGCAAAAACGAAGGTAAGTTTCACTTGGCAGGCTCTCGCGAAAAACATGTAAGATTGCATGTGAGCGATCCGTTTCCACAGGCTGTTAAGCTCGGAGAAATCTGCATTTGCACGCAATTAATCAATTTTCCAGTACATTAATTCGGCGAAAGTGCCGCAAGTTTGTTTGCTTGAAAACTGTTTCGTTGGCTCGAGCACACTGAACGATTTTTGGCGACACCCAATTGGCGACTAAGAAATCCAAAATTGAGCCAACTGTTAGGCCTTGACAACAATGTACTTACTGTTTTCAGAGGTAGCTGGAGGATTCAACTGTCCAGCCAATGGCGAAGTCAGCAACACTGGGTCTTTCTCCAGACATGCTCACCCGGACGACTGCAGGAAATACTACATTTGCCTTGAAGGTAAGCCGCGTAAGCATTGTATACAATTCGAGAAAGCCCCATTCTGATAAAACTGATCAAAACAGGTCAAGCTCGCGAATACGGGTGCCCGATTGGTACCGTTTTCAAGATTGGTGATGCCGATGGTACCGGAAACTGCGAGGATCCAGAAGACGTGCCCGGATGGTGAGTGTTTTGTGGAAGGGTGTCTGTGCTTAACCGAGTGGCTCTTTTTGTAAATAATCTGTAATTTCCATTTTTAACATTATGGCTCTGTTCCGTCTAACTTTCTGTTAATTTTTGCTCCTCTAGTGGTACAGTGCAACCGGATTGCTAACTAGTCTTTCTAGGTTGAAACTTAATTTGATGCGATTTCTGCACAGTTCAATGGAAAAATCTGTTAGTTTTCTTTGAACGCAAATGGAAGGCTGACATTTCGTTTATTTATGGACAACATTCCGATATATAAATTTCACTAGAAGGAATCCAGGGTCAATAAAAATCGGCCAATATTTTTGGCTGAAAAAAATCTGTAAGACTCCACACAGAAATTCGCCAATTTCACATTAGAGCAAACGGAAGAGTGAAAATCTGATCACGTCTAGATAAGGGCCCAATATAACTACATATAATTGAAAGGCATCCAAAACTAAGTCAGCTCAGAACTCAAACCGGTTTTTGGAAAGTTCTTAGCGCGTTCACTAAAATTGCACAAAATGTTGCAAGCTTTGATAAAAAAAAATTGCAACTTTCAAACCAGAGCAAATAGACATATGCAACACAGGAAAATAGGCTGGATCGAAGCTCAAAGTTATTTTTGAAAAATATTCAAACTTGACTTATCTTTTGCAACTGTGCAGTTTGCGAGTCTCGACAGAAAAAAAATTGCTTCTTCCAAACCAGTTCATGCATACGTTTGAAATTTTGGCCACATATTCGCGGAAATGCCCGATAACCATTCCACTAAAACTAAACTGATTCACAGCTCAGACTGATTTTTGAATAATCCTCAACCTTTAGTCATTTTCTTCAATTGTGCATTCTGCGTGTCCCCACATAAAAATCCACAACTTTTATAACAGGGCAAACAAAGTCATGAACTTTTGCCTACGGATAGATAGAGGGCCAGAATATACCTCAGAGAAAACTAGACGGTCTCAAAAACTCAAATGCATTTTTGAAAAATTGTCAAATCTGAAAAAATTGACAAAGGTTTTCAGAAGTCTCGAGAAAAAAAATTCGCAACTTCCAAACCAGCTCATACATAAGTTTACAATTTTGGCCACAGATAGATGAAAGCCCAGTATAACAGTCAAAGAAAACTAGACTGGCTCAGAACTACTCATATTGACTCGATTTCTTCAATCCTGGGCACAAAAATCCACAACTTCCAAACCACAGAACGAAGGCGCTTGAAATTTTGACGTCATATGGAAAAAAGAGCCAGTATATGCCTCAATGAAAACCCACCTGGCTGAGAACTACGAAAGATGTTTAAAAATTCGCAAATCCACCCCTTGATTTCTGCATACCACCACACAAAAAAATCACCACTTCCAAACCAGAGCAAGCAGAGATGTAAAATTTTGGCCACAGACAAAGGATAGAGGCCACAGACAAAGGCCCAGTCAGAAAAGTAAAAGAAAGACCCCTTAGAAAAAGTAGGAAGAAAAGCTGGCACCTTTTTGAAAATTTGCAAAAACTTCACAGTCCTCCACATACAAATTCTCAACTCCCAAACCAGAACAAGTACAAACCAGAAATTTCTCCCCTGCCTAGACTAGACCCCAAGGAAAATTTTGCACAATCAGCATATATGAATCCCCTTCAAAATTACACATTAAAAGAATTTGTGTTTTTGAATCATGTACGTTGCACTGTGCCACCACCCCCCATCCAAAACGCCAGTAACCGCAGCTCCCTGAACTCCGCCACTGAACTCCCCCATCTAGAAAGGCAAAACCAACCAAGCTCCTCGACTATTTCAGTGAGGACTATTATGGCGATTTGGACTTGAAAAGCATCAGAAAGAGCGAACTTCTTGCTGGACTCCAGTCCAGTGGCGCATCGAGGTCCACCAATCCCGCCCCCAAAAAATCAGCCCCCCGGCCTGCACCCGCCTCACGTAACACCCCTGAATCTTCCAACTAATTAGGTAGTGTTTAAGCGCAGTTTTCCCCAAAATGTTTCACGTTTTTCATGCATTTTATGGGCCCGTTGCGATGTTAGTGTGTACATAATGGTCAGTGGCGCAACGGGTTCGTTTCTTTGGGGGGGCAGGTGAAGTTACGGTACGATTTTCTATAGTGTAGGGCGCAATGTTAGTTTTATGATAAATTCGGCAGGAAGTCGTTACAAAATTGCTCTATTTTGTATGCATAGAAAATTAATAAAAATCCTACTGTGACCTGTGTGTGTATTATTCGCCCCATCCTCCACTAATGCACTGTTCTTCACTGTGGCACCTCAGCAGGTCCTGCTCTAACTCTTTGGGACTTTGCTGATGAAATGCATGGGTTTTTTAACTATTTGTTCAACTTTCTATCTGTACTTGTTACTAATTTAACAACCACACAACTTTCGGACTCACCAACAGCAGGAAAGTAGGATTTCCTGCCACTGTCCAACCTTCTTTGTAACCGTTTTTTCTTTTCTAGTGAGGACTACTACAAAGACGTAGACCTAAAGGCCCTAAAAAAATTAGGCTACTAAGCTAACAGTTGGTGTAAATGAGTTCTTTTTTTTGTGACTGAGAAAGTGTTAAGGGGAGTTAAGTCAAAATTAACCAAAAAAGCAGACGAGAAGGGCGGCTGCCACTATCTAGTATTTATTTGTTAACTTTTTACTGTTAAATGTTGTATAGTGTGTTAATACTTAGTCAATAAACCGTTAGTTAATAGCAGTGTGTTTTATTAATGCACCCACACTGAGAAAAATGAAGAAATTCAAGAACCAATGAAAGTTCTTAACGGGTTTTCACTGCACAACCAAGGTGATTAGCCAGAAAGCTCTCATACATAATATGCAGATGTAAAAACGCTCGCCTACTTTGAAAGTGATTTCTATGCATAGTTTACCCAGATACAGCCTTGGACATTACCTAATGCTGTTGAATTTAGATGTAATTTATAGCAGAACTTACCTTATCGGTCTAAGAAAGCACCGTTGGCCTTTACAGGAATCTGCAGAGTCCAAATCTGGGCTGTTCGGTGTCCTACAAAACGGCACAGAGTGTGAAATTTCAACTAAATGATTCCGATTGGACAAGAAGATCGCATTGAAACTTTGGGAAAAGTAGAGGGTTGATTTTTTCATTAGACGAAGATTTGCTTGTTCTAAGGAGCCCCGAGTTTCGCATGCCAAACGTCAGTCTAAATGCTACTAAAGTTTTTTCAGAAATTCATCATTAAATGTTTAGGAAAGCCAAAGTGTTAAAGCTGCCCTCTTTTATCAACGACTTTTCTTGTTGAGCAACAGTGTTTCTGTCCATGACCATCATCAGGTCTCAAGCCAGTGGGGGCTAAGAAGAAACAACGCACGCTGTTGAAAATTGCAGGGTTTGCTTTAAAAAAATCTAAATAAAAAAGCGCAAAAACCAGAACATTCGTTCTACAACTATTTGATAGAGGATTATTTGTTCCATCAGATCTAAAACGTTCGTTTATGGGTCATCATCAGAGCTATAGTGAGTGACCTCCAGGTGACACGCACCGAAAACGCAACTACATGCACATTGTGCTATAAATTTAAAAAAATAAAATACTGGAACCCATGGAACTCCAAGTCGGCCCCTATTCAACACGGAAATGTATGCTTTCATGAATCAAGAAGTTTCGTTCATATTGCATCAACAGGCCTCCAGCCAGTGGCGGTGAAGAAGCAACAACGCAAGCTGTCGGAAATTGGAGAGTTGCCTTTAAAAATTTCTACATAAAAGAGCAGACAAACCAGGCCTGCCAATTTACCACCATTGGATAGAGGATTATTTGTTCCATTAAAGTAAAAAGTTTCGTTTATGGGTCATCATCAGAGTCAAAGTGAGTGATGACCAAGCGACAAGGTCAGAAAATGTAACTAAATGCACATTGCGATATAAATTTTTTAAATGAAATACTTGAACCTACCGGACTCTCAGTTTGCTCTCATTTAATAGAAACATTTGTGCCTTCATAAACCGAGAAGTTTAGATCATATTGTATCATCAGGAATCCAACCAGTAGCGGCGAAGAAGCAACAACACACATTGTTATAAATGACAGGGTTGCTTTAAAAAAAATCTAAACAAATAATACAAAAAGCCAGAACTTTCCGTTTACCACCATTCAATAGCGGTTCAATTCAATTATTTGGTCCATCAGAGCCAAAAGTTTCGTTTATGGGTTATCATCAAAGCTAAAGTGAGTTACGACCAAGTGACAAGGGAAGACAATGCATCTAAATCCACATTGTGATATAAATTTTTTTAAATAAAATATTGGAACCGATGGAACTCCAACTTTGCTCTCATTGATTATAAAAATTTGTGCTTGCATGAACCGAGAAGTTTCGTTCATATTGCATTATCAGACCTCCAGCCAGTGGCGGCGAAGATGTAACCACGCACGCTGTCAGAAATTGCAGAGTTGCCTTTAAAAAAAATTAAATAAAAGGGCAGATAAACCAGGCATTCCAATTTAGTACCATTGGATAGAGAATTATTTCTTCCATCAGAGTCGAAAGTTTCGTTTATGGGTCATCATCAGAGCTAAAGTGAGTGACGACTAAGTGAGAAGGGAAGACAATGCATCTAAATGCACATTGTGACTTCTTGATAACATTCTAAGGCAAATAGTAGAACGGAGGGAACTTCAAATCTAGGCGCATTCCATAGGACAATCTGCAGTTCAATATGCTAAAAATTTTCGTTCATATTGCATCATCAGACTCCAAGCCAGTGGCGGCTATGTAGAAGAACACAAGCTGACCAAAATTTCTGGATTAAATAAAAAAAACATCAATAAAAAAGCTAAAACCTGGAACTCTAATTGTTTTTATGGTTCGATGCAAATCTGCTTTCTCCAAAACATCAAAAGTTTCGTTTGTTGATCATCATAATTAAAATCAGTGGCGGCTAAGTCAGAAGGGCACAAAACGCCACTTAATAAATAATGTTGCTTAAAAAATTGCAACCCAATCATCTGAACAGATGGAACTTAAAGATTGGCTCTGTTTCAAAGAGAATTTTATAAGCTAAAGCACCACGAAATTTGGTGCACATACCATCATCAGACTTCAAGCCAGAGGCGGCTAAGCATAGAGAAACAAAACTGCTAAAATGCTGGTTTTACATTAAAAAATCATATTTTCAAAACTAGAAATAAGCTAAGCACAATTTTTACCAAATTATATAGCGAATTCTCTATTCTACCACAGTTAAAAGTTCCCTTTTCTGCTGATTCTCAGAAATAAAACCAGTAGAGATTTTTTGTTCTTGATTAAAATCACTTCTTTGAAAAGTCATAAATCGGAGGCATCAAACGATGCCACCAGAATTCTGCCACCATTCACCATTCATTTCACCCGAGCAACCGCAAGTTTTGTTTGTTCGCCATCATCAGTCGTGAGATCAGTAACAAGCCATTATTTGTTTCAAGCAAGGATGAGAATTTTTGCTTATCCTAATGTTTCTGCAGTAATGAAGCTCGAAATTCCAACTTTTAAAGCTTTTGAGCTCAACAGCGTGGACTTGCCTAACAAGACGCAAACTTACCAAGAAAAACGCGATTTATTCCAGTCAGACAGCTCATCGATTCATTAGCGGAATTGCAAATGATTCAGACGATCGACATGATAAGCCTTCAAACAACAGTATTTACATAGGCAAATCAGACACTCCCTAGAAATCAATGCAACATCAAATCGCTTTTAAGTACCGCATTTCTCACTTTCCTCATTGAATTTGGCAATAGCCGAAACCAAAGCCTTTCGAATCGAATAATCAGTGAGCAGGATGTGCTTGTTTGGCCTAAAAAAAACTATTTTTGACCAAAAAAATTAACGATTCCAAGGTGAGCTGGGCACGTCTTGCAAAGCATTAGATGTTTGGAATGTCTATCACATCTTGATAACAGGTGGAAATGGGCGAGGAGCGACCTTGCAATATCAGAGAAGAAAACCATAATTTTCCTTCCAACTAACCATCGGAAAACCGTTAGTTCTAGTGCAAAAACAGCGCTGGTAAACTTCCGGATATTTTACACTTTCCACTTGAAGCGGTTTGCGTTGGAGGGCACTTGCAATCTTCCCGGGCAGACCCAGATGATTTTCATCTCGATATCGGTGTCGAAGGCTCTTCTTCGGCTAGTGAGCCGCGAAAACCATTCAAAGAAAACCGAATCAACCCGATAGCCTTGCGACTCAAAACGTGGGGAGTCCAAGTATAAAAGCTGAAAACCGAGCGAGGCGTGGTTGTTTACCACTCTGTGCTTTGTTTTCCGATCTGTTTGTGCGGTTCTTTGCGATACCGATATGAAGAACTACGTAAGTATCATTCAATCTCCTCAACGAGTTGAATAGGGGTGGTTTACTCCCTGTTGGTGCTGCAAGAAATTCCAGAAGGAAAAACCCTCCACTTCCGCATTGGGCACAAAGTGCCGCATTTTTTGTCCATGTCCAAGGACAATTTGTTATGGCATTCCCTGCTCGCATTTACATAGCGTCATAAGTGAGAGTGATTTTTCGATTGAATCTGATGGAAAAACTGAATCGAGTGTCTGTCCAGGGCCGCACCCTCTTGCAGTGGCGGGCCCTAATTTCTTTCCCCAAATATTTTCCGTTTAAACCAGCCAGATGTATTCATCAACATTTCTTCTAGCTGTTGCTTTCGGCCCTGATGATGGCCGTTGCAGCTCAAAACCGAGCCTACTCAAGCGGATACGACCGTGAGTACACTACTCCGGTACCCATTCTGAAGCAGATCGATCGGCATAACGACGATGGTTCCTACAGCTACGGGTAAGTTCAGCCAAAACTGGCAGGAAATTGTTTAAACCCCAGACATCCAGATACGAAAACGCCGATGGAACCTACAAAATCGAAACCAAGTACCCGACTGGGGAAGTTTATGGAAAGTACGGCTACATTGACGACACCGGCAAACTAAGAGAAGTGGAGTATGGGGCGAGCCAGCGCGGGTTTGAGCCAGCTGGAACCGATGTAACAGTGAGTGAACTGAGCGAGGTTTTCTGGCCGCTGCATGCTGATTGGGTGATTGGTTTCAGGTAGCTCCACCTACACTCACTCAGAACGCGGAGGCGCAGCGCCCTTTGGGCCCCAATGAGGAAGATGATGGGCAGTACCGCGAGGATCCGGCTGTATACTACAAGAACGACCCCAATTACGTTCCCAAAGCTCCCTCCTACAACTCCTACGCTAGGCCCTCGTTCCAGATGAGCTACGCGCCCGCTCCTACGCAACCTCCTTACTCTGCCCCTGTTAAGCCGACCTACGCCCCCTTCAACCCCCCAGCTCCTACCTATGCCCCCTACAGCCCCCCAGCCCCTACCTACTCGCCCCCCCAGTTCAATGACTATTACAATAACAGGGTCAACAACCCCATTCCCACTCCAGCTCCCCACTCCAACTACGCCCCCCAGATGTCCTACTGGAACCCATCCCCTCCAGCATATCCAGGCTACAATGCGTTCCAGGGCAGCCCCGCCCAGAATGTGGACATCTGGAGCGGAAGCTACACGGTGAACTACCGAAGGTAGTTCCAAATAAACTTAGCATAGATAATAGTTTAGGGGTAATTTATCGAACGAAGCCAGGAACTGCCGCCTTGGATTGTACCTACGCCGATCTAGTTTAAGCTTAGTCACTTTGTACAATAATTGTAGCCGCGGTTTGAAAGCAATAAAAACAAACAAGCGACAAAGACCAGTTTTTTTCCGCTCCTGTCCGGCCGATTGTTCAGATCCGGAATCGCATAAATTAGGTGCCACTTCATGGTGAACCGTACCAGCAAGTACGACCAGAACTATGAGGAAAAACATTGCAAATTCACCTTCGAAAGGCCCCGATTGAAGAAAAAAGTGAACCGGTCCGTGGGAGTTTTATCGCACCAGATTGGTACCGTCAAGGTTCGGCGCTAACTCCACCCTGATTACGTCAAGGAATGTCGCTGGCCCGGGAAAAAGGGAAATGGTTCATGGGCGGGTTTCTTCATCGCTCGGATAAGAAAAGAAAAATGAGTTTTCCCCGACCAATAGTTTAACAGCGGCAATACATTTCTTGTTTCCAAATGGTCTTCACAAAACTGAAAATATTCACAAAACTGAAAAACGCAACAAATAAAGTGAAAAAGCCTTGAAGTTGGCTGTAGCACCATTCGATAGAGGATTGTTTTCTTTTGTAGCACTAGGCGTTTCGTATTTCGGGCTCCATCAACTCGAGCTCCAGTGGCAGAGGAATACAGCATAATTTATTTGGAAAAAAATGGTCTCACCGGAGGTGGACGTTTCGTTTTCGTTACATCATCAGCCAGATCAGTAGCAGCAACGCAGTAACGATTTAACTTGCTGGGCATTGCGGTTTAAGTGTCTTTTAAACGTTAAACTGGCGAAAGCAGTTAAAGTTATTTTCAATAAATCACAAAAACTACGCCTCTGCCTTGAAAAAATCCCAATTCCAAAATCCGAAACGATAGAACACTAATTTGCACACTTCTCGATAGAGGAATGATTGCTTAAAACGACATCGGACGTTTCGATCTTGAATCTTCATCAGCCTTAAGCCCAGCGGCGGCTGGAAAAGACCCAACATGCCGAAATGTGCAGGCCGTCCTTTAAAAACTCACAACTGAGAGAAGAAAAAAGGAAGAAGGTCGCTTATGGTCTCAGTTGATTAAAAACTTTGTCCTTTATTAGGTTCGGACGCTTCATGACCTTTTAGGAAGAATTACGAAAAAACTTTAAAACTTTCTGGGACCTAGAAGAGTTTTAGAATGTGGGAAAGTGGTTCCTTTGCCTAGACCGTATGGCAAATGCGCTGCTCAAAATGCCATATTTGACCACACCGAATTATGTAACACGTTTAGTTCTTTTAAATACTTTTGTGTGTGTATCGGCCCACGCCCTCGACGTCTTAAGTATGCCAATGTCCAAGACATTTCTCCAAACCAGATCATGAGCGAAATCTACTTTCGGCAAGGCCGACTGCTCGGATGGACGAACTAAATCAACTTTTGCGCCCTTTGATGCTCAAAAGGCCCCTCTTTTCACCTGCCAAAGTTGTCCGACAAATCCAAAAACAATTTTCGAAAAAAGTCCAATTCTTCCAATCAGACGCAAAGAAATAGGCAAAATGAAGGGCAAAAAGAAGAACAATGCATGCTTTTTTGCGAAAAAGAACCCACCGATAGGCCAACGAGAACCTCCGAAGCCCCCCTTCTTCAACACCCAGTGGCGCACTTATAAAAAGGAAAAGTGCGACCCCCCGCACCACTCTAGTGCGGTGCCTTCGAACGCGCAACAATGTTAAAATACGTGGTGAGTACCAATTTTTGCTGTTTGAATTTAAGGGATTTTGGGGGTTCCGGGTAATGTTTGTGTGAATATCGGAGATTTTTCGTTGAAATATTTGTTTTTGGGCTTCAACGAGCAAAAATCAGGGCCAATCTGGCCAATGTCCGGTGACTTTTCAAAGCCCGGCAAAAACTGGTCGTACTTCGAGCGCATTACTGAAGGTTTGCAGCCCCGCCCTGGAAATGCAAAAGTTAATCGGTGACCTCTTGGATTATTTGTCTTGTCATTGTCTTCAGGGTGGGACCGGCAGGCTGCTAAATCGAGAATGGTGAGCCGTTCATTCACTTAGACAAGCCGATCTGGCTTTTTCAAATTTGCGGAAAGGAAACCACAGGAACGCATGCCGCACAACGTGCCAACCGCAAGGTGGACCCATACAATAATTGTTGTGTTCATAAATAGTTGGTTGTTATGCAAAAGCGCGCCTACATTCCTGCTGTGCGGTACGCATGAAGGTATCCAAGCATTTACCCCCACATTTATCAAAATTTGTAACTTCCAAACTAGAACCTGCAGAATCTCAGTCATTACCAAAAAACTGACTTGTGCCGGACCGAAGCATGTATTTTTAATTAATTTTCAAACTGACCCTTCAAATTGCCCCGCGTGTTCCGACCTGGAACTGGACTGGAAAAAAATGGAAACTTCCAAACTTTAAAAGCTTAAAATGTTGGCCACAGATTGCCAAAGACTCTGTATATGACCCAAAGAAAACTAGGGAGGCTCGGAGATCAGACCAATACAAAACAAAATATAACCATCTTTAAAATCGACTAAAATTTTGCAAGTCTTGACAAAAAAAAAATCATAACTTCCAAACCAAAGCCTGAGAATCCTTGAAATTTTGGCCAAACTTAATGGAGGCCCCCGTATATCTACACCAGAAAAGTCAATTGTGCCAGAGCGGCGCATCATTATTATAAATTAAAAAACTGACCCTTCAAATTCTTTCAGCGTATTCCGAACGGAAGGTTTAAAAGCTTCCAAACCCGACATAAGTTTGAAAATCTCGTCACAGGTTCCCAAAAGCTCTGTATATGACTCAAAGAAAACTGGGGAGACTCGGAGATCAGACTCATAGAAAAACCAAAATATAACCATCTCTATAATCGACAAAAATTTTGCATTGCCTAAAAAATTCATAACTTCCAAACCAACCCAATCAGAACCTGGGAATTTTGCTCAAAGATAACCACCACTTCAGTGTATGACTATAAAAAAACTACACAGATTCAGAAGTAAAACAAATTAATAAAAACATCCCAAATTCATCTGTCTCTAAAATGGACTCAAATTTTGCAAGTCTCGACAAGAAAAAAATCACAACTTTCAAACCAGCGCTATCAGAAGCTGGGAATCTTTGCAACAGATAATCACGACCTCAGTGGATAACTGGAAAAAAACTGCACAGATTCAGAACTGAGACTAATCATAAAAAATTTCTGCACACACATAAAAATACACAGCTTACAAACGAAAGCAAGTTAAGCTTTGAAACTTGCCCACACATAGAGCAAGACTCAGGGTATTATGCAAAGAAAATTCCTCAGAATCATATCTGAACCGCACCAAATTACCCAAAAGAAATCGGAAGAAATGTAGAGTCAAACTAATTTAAAAAATCGCAAATTGTCATCTTGACACACCTTTTAAATAAAGCAAACAAACCCAGCCCTGAAATGCTTCAAGGGGGAGTAGGTGGTTATGATCAAATTTAAGGTTTCCACACACGACCACACCCCATTAAAATATAAGTGATAAAAATCTAGGCGACTGTGTGACCCTCAATCCCAATGAAAGTCCGCGCCATTGAATGTCACCGAATTAACATTGCAGATTTGCCTTGAGAACCTATTTGATTAATCGTCAACTTCCTACAGGTGGCAGTACTTGTGCTGCTAGCAGCAGCTTGGGCGCAAGATTTTGACTACGGCCCACGACCCGCACCTGCTAGGGTCCAACCGGGTTATTCTGGACCCTCGTCCGCTCCCAAACCCACCCCAGTGGCCATAATCAAGCAGATCAATAGGTAAGTGGTCCTGCAGCTCCCCCAAATCTTTGGGGTAAGCCACTGATCGAATCCTGTCCGTTTCAGGCACAATGAAGATGGTTCCTATACCTACGGGTACGAGTCGGCCGATGGTTCCTTCAAGATCGAGACCAAACTGCCTACAGGCGAAGTGAAAGGGAAGTACGGGTATGTGGACGATGTGGGCAAAGTGAGGGTGATTGAGTACGGAGCCACTAAGAATGGATTCGCTCCCGTAGGAGAAGGTACCCGATTGGACGCAGGAGAGGCATTTGTTCAAAACTAATTCTTTGGGTTGTTCAGGTATTACAGTGCCTCCTCCAACGTTAGTGGACGAAACTACTGATAAGCAGGGCGCGCTCTTGCCCGAATATTCCGGGGCTTACCAGCAACCAGACGAGCAGCCCCAGCAAGCCCCAGTGCGTAGCCAACCAGCCTACAGCAGGTAAGTGTGCGCAGCCCAAAACTGGGGACAGAATTGGTAGCTAGTAGGTTCCAGACCAGCGCCAGCCAGTTCTTTCGAGTTCGCCTCCGCTGCGGCTCCTAGGCCAGCACCCAGACCCGCCCCCCGGCCGGCGCCTTTGGAGTATTCTCCTCCACAGACCTTTGAGCCCGCCCCCCGTCCGGCGCCCCGCCCTCAATCTCCATGTGAGTAGAACTTTCAGGCCTCGAATCCCTGAACGAGTTCCTGCTTTTAGCTTCGAGTTACTCGTTTGATTTTCCTTCTTCGTCCCCCATGACGAGGGCGTCGTTCTCTTCTGCCCCCGCTCCTCCCAGACCTGCGTTTGCCAATGCTGCTCCTGCTCCCCAGCAAGACTTTGGAGGGATTCCTACTAGGCCGGCCCCACTTCCAGCTAGGTGAGTTGCTACCGGGAGTTTGCTTAGTTTGAGTAGTGTTTTTTCCAGGCCTCAGCCTCAGCAGCCGTCTTTTCCCTCCGCGGCGCCTCAGTACAGGCCTGCGCCCCAGCCTGTTGGCCGTCCAAGCGGCGGGGGCTCCATTCTGGATCAGTTGAGCAAGGACTATGCGCTGCCTCAGAGCAATTCTGCGCCCCTGCACGACATCAGTTTTGGGTATTATTAAACAGGCCGATTGGAATGATTTGTGTAAACTGTGTGATATCTTGAGCTACCCATTGGGAGCCCTCTTTCCTACTTTCTCCTGCTTTTTTCTCTTTGCTTATACTCCTACTTTTTCTGCTGTCTAATCTGCATGCTTTCACTACTTTCCTACTTTCTTCTGTTACTTCGTTCACTTTTTTAGCACATTGCACTTTCTATTCTTTTTCTTCCTTTGGCCCATCTGGCTTTCCTAACTCTTCAGCTCCCATGAGAACGCACTACGAATATCAACTGTGTATTAGACTGTACATGTTATTTATAGGTATTTGTATATTTCCGTCTAAATGTAATCAACTGATTTTGACGATGGCTTTTCAAGGAAACTGTTGTCTGATTCAAGTGAATAAACCGATCGAGAAAAAGGGTGTTTTACGCTCCCAACAACGAGATGATTCTTAGTGGCTGATATTTTACCGGACGATTCGTTAGGTCCTTTTAAAGTGAAAAGTCCATTTAGGCATGGGTCTGCAAGGCCCGACTTCCGAGCTAAAGGGTGTTAAAATTTAATAAAATTTTTGTTTTTTCTAGCTAATTTTTCAAATAACATCCATGTTTGGGTAAAAGTTGGTATTTGGGGGCCGAAACATGAAAAACTAAATTTGATTTTGGTTTTGCCCTCATATGTGGAGAGCGCTACCATATATTTCTATCTTGCTCATCATGAATTTAAATATCTCGAAAACGGTTACCCGTAAGGGCTTTTCATGAAAGCACTTTTTTACGTAGAAATAATCGACAAATTCTTATACTTGCTAAAAATTTTGATACAAGCATCTGCAAAAAAGTTATGACTCTTCAAGTAGGTCGCGGGTTATGCATACAAGATCAAATTAAATTTTGTCATGTAACTAAACTCCCCCAATACCGTTTCGCCCCACTATTTAAAAATATGTGAAAAAACCAAAAATACAAACATACCCGCTGGAATTTGAAGCATTTTGTGTACCTGTTTGAACTCACACAATTCTATATGGAGTCAGCTCAGCATCCACTGCTCAGAAAGCACACTGATTTCAAGAGCACTCATTAGTATTCTATCGTTTCCTACCCACTTCCTCCAAGGTAAAACCTGAAGCATTTGAAGCAAAATTCCTCACTTACTTTGGATCAAAAGATTCAAGCGGGTGGTGTTTAAAGCCAGTTTTGCTCGATTGAAACGGTTGAGACTTCCCTGTATATGTAGGTGATTTCCCCACATAGACATGGAACGATCAAAATGAAAAAAATGAGCCGCTATAAAGAATAAAAGAGCCGAGTTGATTTTAACGTAGGCACAAACCATTAGCTTGAATTGGCGTGTGGGCAAAACTCGACCAGGTCAACGTATCGAAACTCCCTTATATAGAAGCCACCCGACTTTACTTCACCTTGTTATTATCACACGATTGGTGATTTTATTGAGGGCGAAAAACAGTCATTGTTCATAAAAATTTCCAACGATTTTCCTATCTATCAGCAACAAATGGTCGATGGGCCAGCACTTAACTGCGGTGCATTTTATGCGACTTAACCAGGCAGAATTTATGAAGAAGTGGCTTCGAGCCGACACACAAAACGTTCCTCTCAAATTAACCCGTCTAGACTTTGAAACATTTTAAAGTCACTTGCGACCCGCATTCCCGGGACTCGTTCTTTCTAAGACTTTTCAAGAACATTTCACGAAAAAACCAATTAGAAGAAATAATTTCCAGAAGAATTTTATCTCACCCGGTAGCTTTAATTTAAAAAGCCACCAATATTGTAAGCATTACGAAATCTGTTATAAAAGTCTGAAAAAACCAGATGGTACCCACATTAATGGGGAGTCAACGACTCGCCTAGAAAGGTACCAATAAATATGGTCAAGACTCCTAAGCAGATGTAGAACCAAATTTGTTTCAAATTTGAACATTCATTAAGCGTTGGCGGCTGTTTACATTCTCCATATGGTGGCAGTGGAATTCGCATTTTACTTCAGTTATTTTCGTATTATTAATCAGAACATGGGAGTTAACCGAGATTCAAAAAAATAAATATCTTTTTCTTCAGAAGTTTTAAACCTTTCATCCGATTGTAGTGAAATTCGGAATACAAAGACTTCTAACCGTTCCTCACGAAGGACCAGGACCTCCACGCTCGCCCGATCTGAATTTTTTGGATTATTTTGTTTGGGGGATTTCATCTAAGGTCAAGTGTTTGCGAAACGCCAGTAAATACCTGTGACGAATTGACTCAAATTATTAAAAACACTTGTGATAAAATAAAAAATTATCCGGTTCAAAAACTTTCTCGGTCCATCGAAGCTCAAAGTGCTGAAAATTTTGGGCCCACCGCCTTAATCCCCGATTTGTGCCGGTAGGGGAAAAGTAGGCATAACAATCGACGTTTCTCCCCAAAAGCACACTTTGCTACAAAAAATCACACCTTCCCATCTGGAGCAAGCAGACACTTGAAACTTTCACGATTCATCGAAGATAGTTGCAGCTCAAAGAGCTGAAAATATGACCAACTCGTGTTGATTCCTGATTTTTGCCGATTTGGTAAAGTGGATATAAAAATGAACGTTTTCTGCCAAAAGCCCTCTTTGCTACAAAAAATCCCAACTTCCAATCAAGAGCACGCAGATTTGAAAATTTCACAGTCGATCGAAGACAATTGAGGCGCAAAACCCTAAAAATATGACCCAAATCCCCTTAATGTCTGATTTTTTTCCGCTTTGGTAAAGTGGGCATAAAAATGGACATTTTGGTCCAAAATCATTGTTTATTTCACAAAATTACAACTTCCAATCTGGAGCAAGTAGACGCTTGAAACTTTCACCATCCATAGCAGACAGTTGACGATCAAAGTGCTGAAAATATGACCCAGATAGCCGTAATCCCTCGTTTTTTTCCGATTTGGTAAAGTGGCATAAAAATGGGCGTTACCGACCAAAAGCACTCTTTGCTTTAAAACATCCGAATTTCCAGTCTGGACCAAGCAGTGACTCGAAACTTTCACGGCTAATCGAAGACAGTTGAGGCTCAACATGCTGAAAATATGACCGAAATAGCCTTCATCCCTGATTTTTTTCCGATTTGGATAAGTGGGCATAAAAATGGACGTTTTCGCTAAAAAGCAAGCTCCGCTTCAAAAAATCCCAACTTACAATCTAAAGTAAGCAGACACTTGAAACTTTCACGGTCTATTGACGATTTTCGAAGCTCAAAATGTTGAAAATTTGACCCAAATGGCCTTAATCCCTGATTTTTGCCAATTTGGTAAAGTGGGCATAAAAATGGGCGTTTTCATCCAAAACCACTCTTTGTTTCAAAAAATCGCAACTACCAATCCAGAGCAAACAGACACTCAAAATTTTCACGGTCCATCGAAGCCCGTTGCAGCTCAAAATGCTGAAAATATGACACAAACCGCCTTAATCCCTGGTTTTTGCCGATTTGGTAAAGTGGGTATAAAAATGGGCGTTTTCGCCCAAACGCACGCTTTGCTTAAAAAAATCCCAAGTTCCAATCTAGAGCAAGCAGACACTTAAAACTTTCACAGTCCATAGCAGACAGTTGATGCTCAGAATGCTGAAAATAGGACCCAAATCAGCGTAATCCCTGATTTTTGATAATTTGGTAAAGTGGCCATAAAAATGAGCGTTTTCGTCCAAAAGTACTCTTTAGACATGTTTGAAATTGCTCTCGTGTTCTACACATTTCATGTACAATTTAGACTAATAAAATCGAGGTAAAGGACGCGATGAGTAAACTTTCTGACCATATAAAGTTGCCAATTCCTTTTGAGGAAAGGACCAGTGCGAGCAGCCAGACGCGAGCAGATACGCAGTGCCTAAAGTCACGGAAAATGGTTGATTGTGAATTGCTGATTTACATTGATCAAAGAGCTTCTATCTCCAAAATTGAGCACGAAACTGCACGCCACCAAAGTGCCCAAACAACATAGACGCAAAATTTCATTAAGGCAAGTTGTGCAGAACTTGCAATTGAGCAAGAATCTCGCTTTTCTCCAAGAATTCTCCGCATGGTTCCAGTTCCAGTCCTCCTGGCAAATTCAAGCGTATTAAATCGGGGGCTCCACCCACGTCAATTCTGATCGAGCGCGGCATTGTCAATCGCAGTACCCGATTCTAAGTACCGATCTACCTAATGGTTCCCCACCTGGTGAAGGTATGACGAAGAAGGCGACTTCTATGCAGGGAACAGCAGCAGAAGTGACTGAGCCGCGAGTACCAGCGAGTCTTCGCCGCGAATTGTGCGAGTGAAAGAAGTGGTACTGTCAGTACCATCGGCTGTTGGTGCTCTTGTTCTAGCTCTGAGCTTGGATACGCGGTCGCGCTGAACTTTATCTAGGTGAGTTCGCTCAACTATTGTTCAAGCGTCCAAGCGATTCTACTTTGTTCTGTTAAACTTTCGTTAATACTAATCGAAATGCAAAAAGCAAAAAGTGTGTTTTTACACCCCAAAAGAGCATGGCAATTTTTGATCACTCATCAGCAAGCAAACATAATCCATGCACATAAACAACTAGTGGTTGCATAACACTAAACAATTAAACGAGCGTTGAATAATCGCTTGCTAATTAGTGGCTTTCACTAGTTGATGTTCAGCAAATCAATAGCAGGCCGCATATTGGCGCGGATCGATGTCGTTTGGGGACTTTAAAGTTTTAAAAAATTTAATTGCAAATGCTTCCTGGCCGATGCACGCTATTTATCAATCAATCAACGCAGCGAGTTCAAAAGGCTTTAGCGCACGAGTGTTATAATATTTAAGTCTCAATGTGCACGCCAACCCAGTCAATTGAATCTTGCACGTGTTGATCGTGATGAAGACGGAAAAAAATCATAATTATTTCAGACAAGGGATTTTCGTCGGATGAACATTCGTATCAAAGACCGAAGGAAAACCGCAGCAGGACTTTCGCAGACGATGCCGTAAATTTGGGTTTCTGCGACTGTTAAAGTCACCTGCAGGTATTTGCGTTTCGAATATCCAGTCTATTAAAGAGATTTTGAACGCGGCAAAGCTAATTAGTCGGCATACTTTACGACAATCCGTAAACGCTGAGCCTGAGATTTGCCAGATGCAAAAACACGCATACTGGAGTCTACCCGGAAAATGTGGCGCTGTTAACAAGATTTATACACGGGGTTTAGCTCATCAACTACTAATGTCTATTGTCCTAAAATTCACTAACTTCTTCCAGTTGAATTTTGCACTTGAAGCGATTATTTCGCGCTTGTGTTCTATTCCAAAGATCCGAAAGCTCCTGCGCAGACTTCCAATACCAATCCAGGTACTTCCAAATGAAAACAAGTAGCTACTTGAAAATTTGTAGTCTATAGAGGAAACACAAGTCTGCAAAGTGCAACCAGAATACTGTGCCAGTCTGATTTTTTACGGCTTGGTAATTATGGGAGTATAATAGAACGCGTTTGCTCACGTGCAGACTGATTTTCAAAAATTCGAAACTTCCGAACTCCGAACTAAAATAAGCAGTAACTTGAAACTTTCGAACTCCATAGACGCAACTTCAGGTTGTAAATCTGGTGAAGTTAAATGTAAATTCTGCGACATTTTGATTTTTTGCTGCTTCGTTTTAAGGGAGGTTTAATAGAACGAGAAGAATTGCTTTTAAAAATTCGAAACTTCCGAACTGAAACGAGTATCAAATTGAAACTTTTATAATCTATAGCAGAAAAGTCTCTCTAGACATTTGGAGCAGAAAATCAAAATCGTATAATATTGTGATTTTTAACTGCTTCGTAATTATGGTTGTGTAATGAAACGCGACTCTTCAAATACAATCTAATTTTCAAAAATTCAAAACTTTCAAACTAAAAGCCGGTACATTTTGAAATTGTTACCGTTTATATAGGAAACGAAAGTCTAAACATTTTGTGGAAAAAAACCAAAGATTGGCATCCACCCCGATTTTTTACGTCCTCGTAATTGTAGTTTCCGAGCATGTAATAAAACGCGTTTAATCAGGTGCAAACTGATTTATTTTCAAAAATTTGAAAGTCCCGAGATAAATTAATAGTCACTTATAGAAAAGTGCATTATGCAACTCTATAAGTTATGAAAATTATCAGAAAATCCTGCTAAAACCTGCTTTCTTACGGTGTTACAAACTTAGCTTAGTTGAACTGAACCCCTTCCATGTGCTATTTAGCTGAAAAATTTGTATTTCTCGAAGGAAAAATTGGCGCTCCGGAAAAATCCTCCGCCTCTGAAGATGCAAGCCACTCGTGCTTGTCAGGAAAAATGTTTTTCTAGTTGGTCTAAAAGCCAGAAACACTCTACCAGGTTCACTTACTTCTGCAGAATCACAACTCCCGAATTTAAAATTTTCCTGCGATATAGAGCAGAAGCTCCTGAATTTATGGCCAGCTTCGGTTGATTTAAAAAAAAAGTGAACCATACCAGGACAATTCTATATACATTTGCCTGCACAGTTTTAACACAACTGTGCCTACAGGGTTTCGAACTATCTTCGGTTGTGCGTATAATAAACGACATCCAATAAAAGTCACTATCGTGAGATATTTAATTAGCTGCAGATACTTCCTGTTCGGTGCATGCGAGAAGTACCCAGGTGTTCTTACCTATCCACATATAAACGAAAAAACCTAATAAATTACAAAGCACTGGCAGAAGTTATTCCAAAGCACGTCGGAGCCGCCATTTCGGCCAAGATTAATAATTTAAATGCAGGCTACGCCTTTTGGCTACGAACACGATCATATCTTTATTGTTCTGCAATAAGGAATTTTTCAATATTAAATGCCCTTCTATCTCGATCGACCATTTATAGATGGGAAAAATCACGATGAGATTAAGAACGCAATCAGCTCGGTTCAGCTACTCGAAGGACCAGATTTGGAGCCTAAAGAAAGAGCGAGTTGAAGTGTGTTTAAGCCGAATTTTGAGCAACAAGGTTTTTAGTTTTTTTTTTAACGCAACTATCAAAAAGTGAGCAATTGTAACATATAATTGCACCTTAATATTAGTCGTTTCGTTGTGAAAACACTAGAGTTCTCAGTGGTTATTTACCAGCTAATTTAGCAACTTCCCGGAAGATAAGCCAGGTCCATCTGTTACTCATGTTAGTTCAGTAAACAGCTTTGCCTGCAATTAAGGAAGTTGGCATTCGCCAAAGAAAAGCAAACTTTGATCGGTTGTTTGTCAATAATATTAAAACAAGCGATCCGAATGCTTTCCGCTCAACATAGAGAAATGTGCTCACCATAAATTCGCTTAAATGCCAGTGGATTTTTTCCTGCAGCTCGTCAGTATTTTCGCCCCGATTGGAAACCGATATCGCAAAGCAGTTACCAGCTAATTACAGAGCACCAGCATAAAGATGACAATCTTTGAGGCGCTCTGGTGCGAACTTGCACAATTCCTGCACATTTTTTTCAATTTTTTCAATCTTGTACCGTCTGGAATTTGCCAAGGCCGTGCCGACATCAACTAGTCCAGTGAGTTAATTTAGCTGTCAGCTCAAACATCCTGCTGAAAACCCCAAGCAATTGTTTATTGCCAAGATGTAATTGCACCCTGACTAGACCGGAGTATGGAAACCATAAATATGAATAATAAGCCATGGCCTGGAGGGAATACAGGCTACCATTATGGGCCCCAAGAACATTCAAAGTTCACTGAGTGAACTCAGTTCCTGGTGATTTGTTGCTGTTGTGTGACAAAGGAAATGGAATTTTTCCATTCGAAACTCACTCGACCCCAGGGTGGGGAATCAGAGCTAGTTGAAGGCAGGCATAAATATGGCTTGTATTTTCCAATAGGCTGCAGTCGAAAAATGCATCCGCATTCTTAGCATTTACCCCCCGTGTTCTTCGCCATATAAACACGGTCTCATTGCTAGTTGGCTATAGAACCAGACCACACAGGAGGATTAGCAAGCACATTATCGGTTCGATATCTGGCCAGTCATGTGAAAACCATTAGTTTTCCAAAGTAAATCAAGCATTGATCGGGCATTTAGAGAGTAAAGAAAATCAATTCTGAGTATGAGAGTGGCCAAATGGGCCTAATCTGGATTTGCTCAGGTTTGCCTGAATTTTTTTTCTGTACTGTGTTGTTTGAGTACTGTTGATGGTGCCTAGTTTTACAGCCTAGTTGGTCTTCTATAGCTTGCCACTGACGAATTTTTAAAGCGTCTGGACAAATACATTCAGTTGTATACCTGTGATTGCAAGAGCGTAAAAATTCACGCTGCTCCAACATTCAATAATAATTTTCAAAACTTGTCTCAGTTTAGAAGTTGAGAAGTTTTAAAAATCAGGCTACACATAGCAGGAAAATATGCAGTTGCATTTCTAAAATTGAAAAATCGTAAAAGATTGCAATGTAGCACGATTTCTCAATATTGTTGTGATTTTCATATCTGATGGTCTTCTGTAGACGCAAAATGTTTTAAGGTGTGGATGGTTTTAGTTTGGGAGTTATGATTTTTTAAAGCGAGTATCCACCTGGACGAAGACGTTTGCTTGCCCCCACCTGCGAAGGGAAAAGACGAAAAGACGCTAGAAGTTTAAAGTTGCAGCTGATTTTAGTTTGGAAGTTACGAATTTTTTAAAGCCAGTATGCAAATGGACAAAGACGTTCAGTTGCACACCTATGATTGCAAGACAGTAAAAATTCACGTGGCCGCAGGATTTTATCGTGTTTTCTGCAGCGTGTAAGAGCTATATATTGTCAATAAACGTTAAAAGTTTCAAATGCCTGTCTTTTTCCTTCTCGGAGGTTCGAATTTTTTAAAATACGGCCACACATGGGTAAAGACTACAGTTGCACACCTAAAATTGTGACACCGTAAAAAATCAAGATGTACGACGATTTATTGGTGTTAATGGAGATTTGCAGACGTCATGGTCTTCTATAGAGTAGAAACGTTTCAAGTGGCTACTGCATCTAGTTTGGGACTGACGATTTTTTAAAGCTAGTATCCACTTGCGCGAAGACGTTCAGTTGCACATCTATTATTGCAAACCGTAAAAATTCACGATGATCCAAGATTTTAGGATCGATTTGAGCACTTGTAGAGCTACATATTCTCTGTAAACCGTAAAAGTTTCAAGTTGCTGCTTTTTGCAGTTTGAAAGTTTAGAATTTTGAAAGTCAGGCTACACATGGGAGGAAAATGTGCAGTTGCATTCCTAAAATTGAGAAATCGTAAAATATTGCAATGTAGCACGATTTTTCAATATTGTTGGGATTTTCAGATCTGATGGTCTTCTGTAGAGGCAGAATGTTTCAAGGTGTGGATGCTTTTAGTTTGGGAGTTACGATTTTTTAAAGCGAGTATCCACCTGGACGAAGACGTTTGCTTGTACACCTATGATTGCAAGAGCGTAGATACATATTCCGTATCCGGATTTTACTATAATTTTCCGAACTTGTATATTATATATACTTGTATATGTATATATTACAAGTTACTGCTTCTCCTAGTTTGAGAGTTTCACATTTTTAAAAATCAGGCTCCACATTGTCGCTTGAATGATTATTTTTCGCTAATTCCGAGGGTGACTTTCGACCTGATACAAATTCTTGTACAACTTCTCAACGGAGAGCCTTTTTCTAATCTATGGGTGATTGTTCCGGGGCAATATAATAATCGAATAAAAATGTCCAAATGCTTTAACCAAAAAATCGTTTGCTATTCAAGCAACGTAAAGGTTAGCCAACTGGCTGAGGCACTGTTGACTTTGGCCATCCTTTGAAGATATCTGAATTGTTTGTCTTTTAGTGGTTTCCTCTGGTTCTGCTGCGGTGACATCAGATCTAAATTTACCACACCGGTTGGTTGACAAAAGGTGAACAGTTACACGAAAGCTGTTATCGTCGTTAGTTTCAAATGATTTTTTTCTGGTTTAATTTATTGATGAATTATAACGACTTATTCGTAGCCAACTGATCATCAGTCCACGCCAGTACAATCATTTCAAGGCTCTCAGTTTGGCAAAGCAAATCGCTTTCATTGCGTCCATTAAAAAGGAAAAAACCCACATTGTGCGGCTTATGGCCTTGCCATTTACATTTCATATCCCAATGGGTATTGTATGCAATGTTTTACTGTTCGATTTATCATTGGTGACTTCACATGCATTCTGATGAGTTTCACTTAACTTTTCACAAAATTTGAATAATTCCTGAAACTCCGAAAAAACTGCAAATTCCTGGGCTGAATATTATAGTAAATCCACTATGCAACAAAAATGTGTTAAAAACACTGACATGGGCGTAAACCGTAATCATCTGGGTCAGTGACTGAACAATCGGCTGGTGCGATTACAATGGATTTGTCATTAGAATACACCCACTTTCTTGTAAATTCTTAAGTTAGTTATTCAAAGGCTCAGTTGCTGAATACTTTATAAAGGACAATACGAAGCGAAAGTCTGAAAAGCTCCTTTATATGGAAATTCATTAAAAACTTAAAAATCTGCCGTTGGTTTTCTGGCAAAATCTCAATTTCCTTTTCTTCAGCAGCCATGAAGGCTCCAACAAAGATATGTAATTGTTGTCGGTTATTCAACCTCAGAAAAAACTAGTTTATTCAGTCTGTTCGCATTAGAGCTTGTACGTACCATTTCAAGTACTGCTATGGAGTTTAATAATGGCATTAAAATTGTGTGGAATCGCTCTAATATTATGTAATTTGTACTGGGAGATGTTTGCGGTCTTGGATCGACGTACGGTACTTTCAATCAACATTAAATCCGCTCTCGATTCACTACAAAAGTGCATTCCAGTTAACCGAAATTCCCCATTTTCTCGACAATCTTTTCAAGTGTTTTGCACGATAATCCTAGTGGACAATTAAAATCCACGTCGGGGCATCGCAAGCAAATTAGAGCTCGAGATTTAAATGCTGAGGTCGTTCTTGTTCAAACGCCGCAAATTCAGAGTAAATTGGTTGACTTGATAATTGCTTCTCATTTCCTTATCTGAACATTCTTCTTAACATTACACGTGTGGGTTGTTTTTTAAAACTCGTCAACAATTGGAACTTTTTAATAAAAAATCCAGTCTGCAGCGCGAATACTCAAGCACAACAACACAATTGAAATTTTCTTTCTTCAATTTAATTCTTCGTCAATCTGAGCATATTCCTCTTTACGAATATTAAGCAGCAATAATTTAAAGCCTTTTGGCATCTTAAGCAGGCACTACCAAGCCTTGGAAGCGAGCGTTTAAAATATTAACGATTTCTCATTGTTCTTTGGCACAAAAAATTAAAAAATAATAAATTTGCACTGTGATTTCACCTGGAAAACTATTAAACTCAGCAGAATATTCGCGCCAGAAGAATTAAGAGAGCAAAAGTTGGTATCTAAATTTTTAAAGTATCACCGCTTGAAGGCTGAAAAACAGAAACAATGGGCAGTTTTACTTTGAAAAACTCACCAGAGTACTTAAGAGTGCAAACGCTTGATGCAGAGCGATTTGCAGATTCTCAACAGAAAAATTGGAATTTCAGTTAGTTGACAAAACCGGTTGAAAACCTGTATTCGAGCCACAACACGAAAATCGTTTAAAAAAAAATCGCGAAGAAAGTTACAAGCTGATTTCACTAGGAAAATCTGCTCAAACTCAACGGATATTTTGCGCGCTAAATACAACTATTTTCCAATAAACTGCAAACTCTCCTGAATATTCTCCTTCACCAGCGAGAAATGCTGGTGTGGCCATTTCCAACAGGTTTCTCTAGCTGGCTAGATAACGTTGATAAACATTGGGAAAACCCATTGGAACCTCATAATATCTTGAAACTCTAGGCTTAATAGGCTGTTTCTAGCACCAGGAAGTGATGGTGCAAACACCTTCATCAGAGCGATAAACATGTTAACAACAGGTTTTGCCATCAAGACATGTTGATTATCGTCCGTGTCATTTTCCAAGACCTGCGGGGTTTTATGGTGTTTGAAAGGTGTAAATTTAGCAGGAATTTCACCTACTAGAACAGTGGCGGAGGGTTTTCGTCCCAATTCCAATGGCTGCTAAAAAGCCATAAACCAGCTCGAAAGGCGCAAACTATCCGGGCAAAATGCCTGCATAATTTAACATGTATTAGATCAGAGGCGACTCTAAACGGTTTTATGGAAGTGAACACGGAAACCGATCGAATAAATAAATTAATTCCAGAGTTCAACAGTCGCATATAAAATATTTAGAAAAACGCCTCGCAAGTTGCATAAATCTTGGGCGTTCTCCTTTCGATCCTGCTACGTTTGTTGTACCGTTACTCCAGCGGCAATTGGCATTTTTTCTTGTCTTAGGCGCATTTGCATATCCTGATGCCTGACTATTTAGCAGTTTTTTTGGAAAATGCCCTGCAGCCGCTTTGAATTCACCTCGCCAGTTCAGTAGGGAAAATTCAATTTGCTCATGCCTTATTTTCCTTTGGTGCATACCTATGAAACAGGTTGCAATTTAACTTTTAACCCACTTGCAGCAAAGTGGATAATACGTATAATTTTCGAGTCAAGGCGTTTCTCGCTGTTCTAATCTGGTTTCCATATAATAGGGACTATTTGCATAATATTCATGTGTGCAAGAATACCGGTATTTGTTAAAGGTGCTCGTACAAGGCGACAGGATTTGTTTCAATCGAAAAATTAGCTCTTGAATGAATAAGACAATCAGGGATTATGTAAAAGTTGTCTGGCTGTTTCTTTTAAATAATTCAATTGACGACGCGAATTTCTGCTAGAAAATCTTCCATTTCCTCTTTCGGCAATTAAACTCGTGTTTGAATTTCTCTGCCCGTGTTTCACTTTGAGGAATAGCTCTGCTTGGCTGGAATAATTGAATTACTCCTGATTATACAAAAGAACCGGCTGCTTCTATAGAAAGTTGTTTTTATATTGCAACAGTTGGGCCGTTTGTTCCAAGCTAAACGTAAAATCCTGCTAGATAAAGCGGCTTGTATTCGACTTAGTAATTCGTTGACGCGAATCATGCTGATTAAATGCTTCTAAAAATTCCCATGACAAAGCTGTGCTTAAATTAGCATCTATAATTCGTCGATTTAATGACGCACTTCTAAAAAATGTTTCGCCAGTCATTAATAATTCTGACTAATTGGCACCCCAATTCGCATGCTGTTTGTTCGTCTTCTGGACGTAAACAGTGGCTTTTCCATTCCAAGAACCGAAGTGGTAACGGGACCATTTTGGGTTCCTCTCTGGTGCTTCTAACAGCTAAAGCTCAGGCTGACGACATGCTTCGTCGCCTGAAAAACGAAGATCTGCTTCGCTGGCTAGGAAATCTCAAATTCGGTCATCCATCCGAAGACTGACAAAGAACCATTTATCCTGCAAAAAATCAGCAGGAAATAAATCATTTGGCACAGACAAAATATTAAGTTTTACAATGCCAAGTTAATACCAGCTTGGAAGCTGGTTTCTATAATTGAACTAGAGGTGAAAACACCCAATGCGTCAAGGAGAACGACTTAATATTTAGAAACTTGATGTCTTGATTTGTTCTAGGCAAAAGTAATCAACCAAACGTTTCGCTCGCACCAGTGTCCTTATGCATCCTCAGAGGCTATTTTCAAACACACTCGAACTTAAATGGTTCAATTAGTCTCCAGTTGGCTGTGAGCTAACATGGGGATAATTCGATAAATGTCCCCCATTGGTCACATTTGATGAACTGAACATTTCGTTGGTTTTTCGACAATTTCCGATCCTGGTCGGCCGGAATTAGCCGGACTATTTCAACGGAGCTTCCGGTATCGGGTTGAATGATTAATGAAAGCCCCAGGAAAATATTATTCCTAAAATTTCCCGGTTGTTTGTTAGTAAATGAGCACAGCAAACGCGGGAATTTGCTACTTTAATGAGTCGCATTTGGTTGAACTGAAATGTGCACTGGAAACTGGATTAGTTTAATTTTACGAGGCAGTTTAGTAAAAAACCTAGCAAGATAATGTGTTTTTCTTTGATTTCAGGCAACAACAGCATGATATTTGGTCGCTAGAAGCCCAAGTGAAATAAGAAGTAAGTTGGACGTTAAAGGGTTCAAGCGTACGCTTTTGAAACCGTGCGGAATCTGTTGAATAAATTCGCCATTAAAATGCCAAGTGCGATATGGGGCTAACCTTTTTTTAGAATATAGAAGAAACATGGATCTATTGATGAAGTACAGCTAAGAAGTCCATTGATATTTTGACTAATGTTTAGAATTTAAAAATTGAACGTTTTAGAGCCGCTGTTGAAATCGTGCAGGTCCAAATTAAAAAATCGCACTTTTGAGCCAGAAGGAGATAGAGAGCTGACAATTTTCAGAAATGTAGACCAAAGATCGAGCTATTGATGCGCAACTAGAAAGCGAATTAAGCTCCAGACTAATTTTGGAAAATTTTTGAAAATATGCATTTAAAAGTCGCTTTTGAAACCGTGCAGGCTCTAATGAACAAATTCGCCATTAAAAGACCTAAGTCGGTATAAATCTGCACATTATAGTCAATATAGAAGAAACAGCGTCCTATTGAACAAATCTAGCTACAAAGTCCATTAAGGTCGTCGGTGGTTTTTATAATGTAAAAAAATGAGCGTCTCAAAGCCGCTTTTGAAACCGTGCAGGGTCTAGTGAATAAATTAGCCCTTAAAAGCCCTATTCTGGTATCAAGCTGCACTTTATAGAAAATAGAGAAGAAACAGCGCCCTATTTAAAAAATGTATCTACAACGCCTATTAAGCTCTTCGGTGATTTTTAGATTTTTTTAAAATGAGCGTCTCAAAGCCACTATTAAAACCGTACAGGTTCTACTGAATAAATTTGTCCTTAAAAGCCCCAAGCCGGTATAAAGCTGCAACTTATAGAGAATATAGACAGAACACGGCCCTATTGAACAAATGCACCTACAAAGTCCTTTAAGCTCTTCTATTATTTTGAGAATTAACAAAACTGATCGTTTCAGAGCCGCTATGAAATCGTGCAAGTCCAAATTCAAAAAATCGCAGTTTCGGGCCGTAAGGAGATACAGAGCTGTAATTTACATGAAATGTAGACTAAATATCGAGCTACTGAACAAGAGCTACTCGAAAACGCGTTAAGCCTCAGACTAATTTTGATAAATTTATGAAAATAAGAATTTAAAAGTCTCTATTGAAACCGTGCCCGCTCTTCTGAATAAATTCACCCTTAAAAGCCATAAGCCGGTATAAAGTTGCAGATTATAGAAAATGTTTAAGAAACAATGCCCTATTAGACAAATGTAGCTACAAAGTCCATTAAGTTCTTCGGTGACTTTTAGAATTTTTTAAAAATGAGCGTCTGAGAGCCGCTGTTGAAACCGCGCAGGACTTATTTAAAAAATCGCTCTTCAAATCTTTAAGCAAATATAGAGCTACAATTTATTCCAAAAATGGAAGAAGTAAGGTATTTTTTATATTGGTGAATTTGGAAATCACTATCAAAATACGCACCTATATGTCGCTCTTGAAACCATACAGACTATATTGAATAAATTCGCCATTGAAATTTCTAAGCCGATATGGAGCTGCAATTCTTAGAGCGCATAGAAGAAACAGTACCCTATTGACAACGTGAAGCAACAAACCTCAAAAATCTCTTTAATGATTTTTTTAGTTTTAAGCTCGATTTTAATCGCGATTTAAAGCCGCTATTAAATCAGCGCAAGTTCGATTTAAAAAATCGCTCTGAAAAGCTTGAAGGAGAACTTGCTTGAAGGAGAGCTAGAATTTATTACGAGTGTAGCGCAAGGATTGCTCTCTTGAACAGGAGAACAGAAAAATGAGCATCTTGAAACCGCTGTTCAAACCGTGCAGTCTCCTATGAATAAATTCGCAATTAAAATTCATGGGTAGATTTAGTGCTGGAATTTTTACAAAATATTTAAAAAGACTTTAAACTACTATTGAAACCGTGCCGGATGTATTTAAAAAATCGGGCTTAAGAGGTTTAAGAAGATATAAAGCTACCGTTTGTCCCAAATGCAGATCAAGTATGGTTCTATTGAACAGGAGAGCTTGGGAAACTCGTTAAGCCCCAGCGAGATTTTTGTAAATTTTTGAAAATGCGCTTCTCGATTGCTGTTGAAACAGTGCAGGCTCTATCGAATCAATTCGCCATTAACATCCCTAAGCCGATATAGAGCTGGAATTTTTACGAAATATAGTAGATACATGATTATATCTAACAAGTGGAGCTGCAAGGTCCAATCAGGGTTATACTAACTTTTTTTGGTTTTTTCAGAATGCTGCCATTGGAGCCGTGTCGGTCCTATTTGAAAAACTCGCTCTTAAGAGCTATAAAAACATACAAAGCAATAATAATAGAAAATGTAGAGCATAGGGCAGAAAGACCGATTGGGTCGATAGCCTTTTTCTATAGGAAATAAAGATTATTTATAAATTTATATTGAATTAAAATTGAATATATTATTGAATATAAGTCAAATTGAAAAATGCACTAAGCCCTAGTGAAATTTTTGTAAATTGAACCAGAACAGGTTATATTTCACAAAATTGCTCTTAAAAGCTCCAAGCAGATAGAACGCTGCTACTGAAATATTGAGTTTCAACTTTGAGCCACAATGTAGATAACTGTGCACACCACACTTTCATTGAAATGGAACAACTAGTCAAGGTAAAAGCATTTTAAGCTCGCCTTGAATTCGTAATATGTGTGCATAGGAAATTATCAGTTTCGCTACCACAAAAAAAACCCTCAATTCACGTTCACCTTTGCCAGCATTTAGCTGTAGCTAATGTGGATAGTCAATTTGCAAAATGCTCCTTAAGAATTCAATCTTTCCGGAAAACAAGCCAGTGACAAATAATGAAAAAGTTGCACTCACTTCCGGCGAAAAATCACGTCATTGATCAACATCTCAAGTGATTCATTGTTTGACTTGGTAATTAGCGTCTATTTCGAAACCTGTCATCTGCATGAATTGAGTTGTATTGTACTCTTTTAAAGAGTAAATTGAAGCTAAAAAGCCTTTAAGTGCGTGCTACAAGCTTTCTTCCCACAATTGATGAAAAACTGAAACCTACAAAATTCCCAACCGTGCTTAACAGTACCCACATATCGTAACACGAAGATCACAATTAGAAAGTACCATCGAAATGGCTTTTGCCGGTCTAAAGAGGATGTTCAACCTTCACCTAGTCGTGCGGTAACACTTCTTATGCTCTTTAACAACAAACCAGGAGGCCACAAAATTGTTATTATCAATATTTAAAACATAATTTCTGGTTTGAAATTGAAAGTGATTCGACCAGGCCCAATCCAGGTCAGCAAATTTGTCCGAGTGCAACAACTTTCGATTTCCTCCACCTCTTGTTCGGTAATAACGCTCGTTATGCACGACTGTCGGCCCAATATGAACGTTAATTTATTGCCGAAAATTTGCACTGTTCCATTACGTCACTCAGTCAGTACCATATGTTCATGTTACAGCCTGGATTCTTCATGATTCCATCTCAATACGGGGAGCGATTAATTGGATTTTAAACTTAAAAATTAAAAGTTAATGAATCTACACGCACATCCATTGTCAGGCTTAATACGTTTTCTGATTAGGCGTCGTTTCAATGCCTATAGCTTCGCACACCCATAACGAATTTTCTCATTATTCACCATACGATTCGAACAAAGGCGAAAAGTTCTTCACTATTGGGGGGTTTTTGTGCAATACTGCCAGCCAGTGTCTCGCTACAAAGAACACTTCGTAAGTGAGACCTGCTTTGCAAGCAATAACTGGACACCAGAATCATAAATGAGTGTTAACCTGTTTGGCTCTTAGTCACAGCCATCAAAACTAGCGGTTATTTGATTTTTTCAGGCTAGGGGCATGCTTTGGGCAAAAGGCGACCATCTCGGACTGCTTGCAATCCTGCTGGTTTTAGCTCTGTTTTTTCGGTCACGCTAAGAGCATGGCTTGGTTGAGGAAACCATCAAGCCCGCATTGCGTGAGATAAAAATGTCAGTCTACAAGCCTAATGAAATGTTTGCTGCAATTGAGTTTTTTTAGTTGATTTTTTGCCAAGTAAAACGTTTAAAACCCCAACCATTATTGACTTGAATCTCTATGACTGTCCATCAAGAGTTTCTGTTTTAATTTTCTCTGGATGCTGAAACTACTGAAAAAATGACACAAAAGTGGCGCAAAAAACATTTTTCGAACGTAAACATGTTCGCAATCACGTAATGTTCACGCATTCTATTACTGCATCGATTGGGCGCGCTGACTATTCGCAAATACCTCGCCTTGATGAATGGCAATATTGTGCAAACCCCGACCAGTTTTAGCTCATTAAACCGACATTCAATCTGCTGATCATAAATCATTTGGTGGACGTTCGTAAAAATTGCATAAAATACGCTCCCTAAATTGCACTGTAGAGATCCGAATCTAAAGTGCTGCAATAAATTCCGGGGGACCTGCCGCGACCGTTACAGTCCACAAGAAAAATGATTCTAGAACAGTTTTCTGGAAATACTCCTCGAGAGAAGATATGGAGAACATAAAGTTCATTTTAACCGCTCCCAATGGATAAAAGCGCGCAATTTCTTAATTATAATTTTAAGCTGCATTCAAAGTTGAAACCGCCAGCATGTTTGTCTTTAAACGGTTGCCGAGTTCCATCGGTCGACCATGCGTTGTTGTCGAAGGAATTTCGTAAAAAATGTCGCAAGATCTTTGTTCCAAGGCTAGCCAGTGTTGCTTTCAGCTTATTAAGTTGATAGTGTTACATTAAAATTTTCGCGTTATTCGATTCTAAGTGGCGATACGTCAAAACACGCTTCCACCCAAGGCTAAATTCTGCATACCCAACAAGCGTTTCGCCTTTCCTCACAAAAAACCAATTCCTTGTCCAATTCGGGTCTATACGTTCCAATCTTCAGGACATAAAGAGCTTCTTTTGTTCCCTAACAAAAATCTGCAGGCTCCCTTTGTTATCTTCTGGGTCCTCGGCAGAATCGGCCTCAACCAGCCTGGATGTTTCAGATATGCGCCCTCCAAGTGTTTGCCTCCTGCTACCGCTAATAGCCCTAGTTTCGTCCCAATCCAACTATGCCGACCAGGCCAACAGTATCGGATATCAAGGCGAAGGCCTTCCGCCTGAAGCCACTCTGGATGGCAAAGTCACCAAGCTGGATGACCTCAGCCCGGTTATATTCCTCAACCGGACCAAGGCTGCACTCAATTGCGCCGCCGGCTCCATGCTGGTAAAACCCTCTCCAAAACTGGATAACTCCTAACTAACAGATGAATTTTCCAGGTGGAGCTGAAATTTAATGACGCCTTCCATGGAATAGCCTATGCGGATTTTGATCGCAACTCCGCATGCCAAGTGACTGGAAAGGGAAGCCACAGCTACAAGTTGGAGCTGCCTTTGAAGGGATGCGGCACCAAACAGGTACCAAATAAGAAAACATTTCTTCCAGTCTTCAATCTTCTTTGAGTCTCTAGTTGCTCATGAATTGAATTCTGTTAGTTCTCTGATTCATCTTCCTCCTCCATATGTGAATATTAAAAATTTCCCAAAGGACAACTTTTTGACCAGTTTATTACCGCAACTTTGAGCGATAAATTCCCATATTCCTGCAACACTTCTGTTGGCCATAAAACAGCAATCTCATGTCATCTGGAAAATTGGTAAGTCCGGAGAAAAAAGCCCGCGTTGATTTACCGCAAAATAAATGGAAAAGTAATTGTCTGGACGGTTTTCGGATGCGACGAAGTTGCTGTTCGTTACAGCTGGACAGATGCAATTTATTCCCAAATAGTCTGACGATTTTTTCTCTTATCCAGGAGCCGCAGCGTGTGTTCACCAATAACATTGTGGTGCGGTTTCATCCCAACTTAGAAATGGATGGGGACGAGATTATTACCATTGTATGCAGATATCCGCCTCCAGTAGCTCCAGTTCCTCCCATTCCCTTGCCCATGTAAGTAACAAAGTTGGTTTTTTAGCCCAGCGCTAATTTATTGCTCAATCCGCGTCCATTGGCAGTTTTATTGCTCGCGTTGAGTGGCTCGAAAATTACCATTTAAGCCCGAGATGTTATTGCGGAACAGTTGCCACATAAAGATTTTACGATGCATTTCGGCTTCAATCGCTCGTATTGGACAATAAACCAACAATGTATCAAATTCCAGTAAAGAAGCTGCTGCTCCGGTTGCTGCCCTGGAGCCCCCACTGAAGGGTTTCCAGATTTTGCTCATCATCTGCGGAATACTCTTCCTTTCGTTGATGCTGCTTGGATTGGGCTGTTCCTACTACTGTCTTCGACGCCGGCCAGTTGCAATAATCCGCCCGTTTTCCAGCATTGGAAGCGACTCGGAAATCACCAAACTCTCCGGGAGCTCGCTAGGTAACTCTTTAAAATCAGGGCGCAGTTCAGAGCTGACTGATTGCTTCCTCAAAGGTACGCTGTCGATGTTTGAGGGCCTCAAAATACCGCGCGCTCATGCCCCGGTTGCCATTACGGGAAGCAGTTCGGGAAGCGAGGAAGGAAACCTCATCAGTGACACGCTGCCTTCGGATTATCCTTCTGAGTCTCACTCAGAAGTTGAGGAAACTCGATCGCTGCCGGTAAGACCACGCCTATCAATTTCCGCTGATGTTTTACTCCTTAATGCATTTTAACGCAAATTTTGTCTTATTTTTCACTGAGAACATGCGCGGTCATTAAAAACAAGCTCATTAAAAGACTCGCCAGACTCTTCACATCACAGGAATAATCGACATTTTATGTGCATTTTGAGACAGCCCTTAGTTTTTTTTCGGGAAAAGTATGGGTTGTTTTTACACATTTGAAACCGTTTCCTTTTGTGCGCCTAACATATTCTCACATCAACTGAAAGCATCTTTAACTGTATCCAAACAAAGCATGTCTGGGACACAGTTTCTGGCCCTTAAACAACGTTGCTTGAAGTCAATAACAAAAGCGCCGTCTAGAGAATGGGAAAATGCTTATTTACACTGTCCCATATAGGTAAGTAGGTCGGCGCCTTTCCACTAAACACGCCAGCAAATGTTTGCGACATCTTAAGCAAACAGACTGAGGGCATTTAATAATTTCAGGTTTCCTCTGCCGGCAGCTTTGAAAATCGGGCATTTATCCAGGATAATGGCAGCTTTTTCGGCTCGGAAGGTTACGGGCACACTCAGGAGCAACAGGTTCAGAACGCATCCTTCACCAGCTCCTCCGAAATGGTTTCTCGATTCCCCATTGCCGTTAAAGGTAATTTTTTGGCTGATGTCCGTGAGATTTTTCATTCGCGGATATTTTGCAGGCGAACCGCCGAACTTTGATGTGCAGGTTCGTGTCAAACGGGCTCCTCCATCGCCCCCTAGTTTGTCGTTTTCTGACACTGAAAGCATGAGGACTGAACGCAACCTGAGCACCATTCCGGAGCAACTGGAAGACATGAGCATCCGATCAGTTTCGCCTCCAATCACCGAACGAACCCACTTTACGTATGTGCCTGAACTGCATCCGCCTCCAAAGCACATCCAGCCTGCGCCGACCTTCAACAGGTGAGATCTAGAGGACATTTTCACCCCGTGCAGGAGTTTGATAGGACGGTTTTGCAGAATTCTGCGCAAGCAGCAGGAGATGGCCGACGCCAGATCGATAGCTTCGCTCAACACGGAAATGACTGACACTCATTCGATCACGGAGACTTTGGATGATTCTCATCACATGTTCATAGCTCCAGTTCCTCCGCCTCCACCTCCAATTGTTCCCAAACAGAACTACATGGTGCAGATGGAGCGACCTGGAAAACTGGAGCCGCCAATCACTCCAATGCATAAGCCTGAGATTACTTCGCATGTGGTGGACGATGTATTTTTGAGGACCATCACTGAGAAGAAGACCTTTGAGGATATTGAGAGGCATAGAAGGTGGGTTTAAATTAAAGCGCGGGCGTGTGCTCCTCAGGAGACTCTGATGATGGTTTCTCTGCAGGTTGATTACAGAGTTCCACGCCCGACCTAAACAGCCACCAGTGGCGCCAATAGAAGACACCAAATGGAATGTGACCATCAAGAACTACCCCGTGCAGGCGGAGCCTCCAGACTGGGAAAACTTCTCAGATATTTCCTCGGCTTCCGGGATGACGTTGACTCCAAAACTGGAAAGGGCGTCGCTTAGTTTGCCACCTCAACCTCAAATCGACGACAACAAGTTACCACTCAACGCCCCTGAACTAGTGAGCAATATCGGCCCTCGCACCACTAGGAGAATGGTTACCAGCGAGTTCAGCAACATCCACAGGTATTTTCCTCCTTATTCGTCCATCAGTCGCAGCTGGAGATCAACGTATTTTCCTTCCGGTAGAGACAGTTTGCATGCGGCTGATGAAAGTGAAGAAACTTTCCTGTCCACCTTCAATGTTCCCTTGGAGAACCCTGCGGTGCCCAACTGGAATGTTTTAATCCGCGTGCTGCAACCGACAGAGCAAGAGGAAGAAGGTACGGAAGCTGAGGGTGATTATGATCCTCTTCACATTGCAAAATTTCTTTTGCAGGTCCCGTGATTGAAAGTGCTGAAACTTTCAACTCCCAGTTGACGTTGAGCGACAAGATGAAATGGAGGCAGATCATCACCACTGAGTCCACGCTGCGCACCCTCCTAACCGAAGCGGTGGTGAAGGAGGACTTCGAAACCATTCGAAAGGATCAACGATACGAGAAAATCTTCGAGCCCCCCAAGTGGGACGTGATCATTCGCATTCTGACTCCGGTAGTTGAAGTCGATTCGTCGACTCCTCATGGTTTGACCGGAAATTGTTACAGATCGACAGGCAGCCGAAGTCGCGGTTCAGAAAAAAGAGCGATTGGGACAACCGCAGCCGAAGAAGCAGCCTGCCCACTTTGTATGAGTACGACTCCGATGGCGGAAGCAGCGTCAAGACGCTGACTAGGGACTCCATGGTGTACCCAGCAATGCCCCAAAGGTACGGGTTAGAGTGACTCCCAATTTCATCTGGTCAAACTGGGGATTTTTCAGGTCCTCACGCTCCAGCTGCAAGAGCGAAGCTGACCTGAGGTCAATGTCTGAGATGACTGTGGACTTTGGTAGACCTGATCATTTCGACACCCAATCGGAAGCTTCCAGCTATTATCCAGATCGGCAGTACTACGAGGACTCGGAGGTGGATGCTGGCTCCACCCATGGAAGATCCTTAGCCAGATCGCTCAGCCAGCCGAGTTTAGCCAGATCAGCAAGTGAATTCACCGAAAGGTACTATCGAAAACTTTGAGGAAAACCTTGATTAATCGTTGGGGATATCAGGTGGGTGGCCCCTTCACGTTACGACACAGCCAGCGAATTCACCTCGCCAGAAGGAACTCCCAAGTCGCAAAGAAGCACTCGAATGCAGCACTACCATCTTCCAGCAAGCGACCAGCAGTCGTCCTGGCAAGCAAGCGAGTCCAGACGAACCACCAGAGGCCCAGCCGCCACGACTGAGCAAGTCACTCGAGAGTTCAGGTGAGGAGGATTGATTTTTGGGGTAATTTTTCATGAGGTGTTTCGCTGGCAGGAGTGAGGCCAAAACCAGCTTTATGGGGCCACCACGGAAGGGCTGGTTCGGGGACAATGAAAGCGAAGCCAGCTACAAGTAGCCATGGAAGCCATTTGCCTAGAAAAAGTCGATTGCCATTTTCTCTCCCAAGTTAGATTAAGTTTAATGCTTCATTTGCGTGGTGAAAAGCCCCCATAAACGTGCCGATCTCCAGAGAACTGCGTGTTAATTGTCGTGGCCTCTCTTTGTCGGCTTTTCTCAGGCGCAATGACGCAAACCGTTTTCGATATAGGAAATTTCGATAATTTAATTCCCATTAACCTGCTGATGTTTGTATCGGTCTCTGCACTTTGACTGTTCGAGTTGTACAATAATTTTACCCCTAACATGTACTTAATAATTTTTTAAATTGTAACTTGCTGTGATAACCATTTTTCTACTATTTTTGCTATTTTTTACCCGGGCGTTCCACCCGATTTTTCACTTTTCCGTTGCGGTTTTGGTTCGCGGAAAACTGAAGAATTGGGTACCTTTCCGAGCGCGTCTTTATCGGTTCTATTTGGCTCTATGGAAAAATAACACAAAGAGCAGCAGGTGCCAGGTCTAGAAACTTTTTAGTGCGCCTGTTGCCGGCCTCTCTTTTTGCTCAATCTATATTTTATGGGTGAAGGGTTTCTTTTTTACTTAACTTTAACTCTATTTGTGCAATGTTGGAAAATTGCAATAAACGTCTGGCTTTAGTTTAGCTGGTTTTATTTGCTAAAATTTTCCAGAAGCTTCCAACATTCAAAACCTTCTCTTGGCCATACTAAGAGCATGACTAAGTAGTCAAACTTCTGCTGATCTGATCATCTGGTTCATTAACCAATAAATGCCTTCCTAAAACACCGTACAAGACAAACCTCCGGAACTTTTTCGCGAAAATAGAGGGGAAATGTTGACGAGAATGGGGCAGGTCGGAAACTGTCGGCTGTAAAACCCGCCGCATCATAAATGTTAACAGCGTCACTAATTATTCTTTAATAAAAAGCCGTATTCCCTAGGGAAATAAGGGATTCAAACTTCCACACGTTGGAATATTGCTCGGGACAACATCTTCGCCTCTTTACGATGAATAACCCGCGCCCTTCTATACACGCCAAAGTGGGGATTAGTTTAAAAAATCCTATGGAAATTTGCAAATAATCACATGTTGATTGATAGATGAGATGAACGGAAGCATTTATTATTTCCCAATTTTAATCGGTTGAGTAATCATTTCCCAAAAACGATCACCGCAATTTAATATGCGTCGTATTTGCTGCTGGCTTAAAACCCACACATATTTTAACTATTAAAATCAAATCAACTGTGCACCATTTTTCCCACTCAAATTGTACATGGAAACCGCAGAAGAATTAGCGCGGGAATTCAAAACAGCGAACAACAAACAATAATAAAGAAATACAAAAAAGAAAATTAAACCGAAACACTTTGAACCAATCTGAGGTCATTGAGTAAGTGCTTGCTCGATTCCAGAACACCATAAGTTCCGATGGTTTCTTGTTCCATAAACGCAATCAAGCATGTGAGCAGATCAGCGTGGAACAGAAGAACGCATTGGGGCGTCGCGACGGCCCCGTTTATTCCACAGGTTTGTCGGACGTCGCGACTGCTAAATTTCAGTGCATCTACGACGTTCGCAAGTGACGTCGCAGGATCGAAGTTGTCCCAAAGTTTTTCCGCGGAAGTTCAGTGGATTAGAAGTCATTCAGAAGAAGAAATACGTAAGTAGAAACTCCCTAAAAAAAGCCGGAAAACGCAATTTTTGCCCAAAGTTAAGAGCATGACTTAGTTATAAAATTAGTGCCTTCGGCCCGCCAGTTTTGCCCCTTGTTTTGTATAGTATCTGAACATTCAAACATTTTCCTTTGGAAATAGAAGTTCACATTTTCACACTTGGCATAAAGTTTTCTACCTAGGCTTGAGTTTTTTGAAATTTCAGGCTTCACTAAGAGCATGCCAAACCCCCAAACTGGAAGCAGTCAGAGCATGACTAAGCCCAGAAAGGGGTTTTGGCTTTAGTGTGTCCAATTCCAATCAGACTGATTTGCTTTCGATCCAGCTGAATTGCAAAAACCAATTTGCAGATGGAAAAACACCGCACCAGAGAGCAGAAAAAGAGAAATGCCGTGTTTGCATCATTTCCTTTGAGAGCCTTTTGCTTCACCAATATTTACTTAGGCTACCGGAAAATCTGCTTTCAGTTTCATTTGCGTCCCTCTGTTTGCCGTTTAAAACTTATCTGCGGACATAGAATAGAATAGAATGAATAAAGCGACTCGCGCCGTGAAATGGAAATTTGTTTGTTCAACACTTAGACCCGATGTTGAGGGAATTATCGAGCCTAAATTCTCTTGACTCAAATCAGCATTAAACTCCATCAGAATTTAATCCTGCAAGCCAAATTTCATTGGGCGTATTCGAGCTGTTTGTTCTGTTCGGCTCGTTTGTCTTTGCCAACACGTTTACTAACATCAAAGAATAATCATACGTTCAGTTGTATAGTCATTATTTTGCCTATGTTTTCCTACAAAATATCTGTAGCATCCGCAAACATTTCTGACGAACTTTTCAACCTTTAAACTGGGAAAATGTGAGAAATGCTTCGGTTCGTTGTGTTCGCGCCCACTATAGGTAACATTCGCGAACAATTTGCCCAGTTTCAGGCGTTCACAGTTCAAAAAACAACAATTCCTGGCTGGAATGGAAAATAAAAACCTTTTCAGTGCCTCTTAACTCGGCAGATTAAATACGGCAATAAAAGCTGCAAGTTGAGGTCGGGTGGATTTGTTCCCACTAATAATCCTGTTAGTCGTTTCGAGTATTAGTAACCATAATGCCTTAGTCTCCATTAAGTTGTTTTTCTGCGAACAAGCTAAGAAGAGTTTTCCAGCGGCAAACAACGTAGAAAATTAAAATTTCAAGGCGTCGCAAGGTGATGTTTTGCTCGGGTTTATTGACAAACAGAAAGCTCCGATGTATAATTCAGTGCTACTCTTGAGCGTCGCTCCTGAAAATGCCCAGCATGAGAAAAAAACGACTTCACTGAAGTGTGGATAAAAACGTAATAAATAACACTTTGGAGCGGAGATGTTTTGCTGTAAATTATCATTTGAAGTTGTTCTGACTGATTCTGCCCGGTAGAGGGTCATTAACAATTTTTACTTTGCAAAGTTGAGCTTATTTTGGAAGGCAAACGCTCAGTCCAGGGACCTACGAAATACACAGCTTTTATTCCTGCGAGAGTTTATAAACAAAGGTGCAAAAGCCCATACAGAAAGACGATAATTTTTTTGCATTACACCTAAATAGAAGCCAGGGCAATGAATAAAACTGGAATCATTTCAAATACGCCTCTGCCCAATCAAAATCTCCAACAATCATCAGGTCAAGACGAATCGATAGCGGGTTGACCCGAAATTCGCACATAAATAATTTGCAAATATGCGTTGATCATATACACTATGAAACTTCATATTAAATTGATAGTTTTGGCCGAGCTTCTGGTAGTTGGTGAACGCAAAATCCACACAACCTTCGACAGTAGCAAACAAAGGCACATCAATCAGGCTTTTTTGTCTATCCCACACAAAACAGAAGTGACTTTTTCGACTGAGTAACAAAACAGAACTGACGAAGTAAGGAACTTTTCAATAAGAGCAGACAGTTCACTTAAACCTTCCCTTTTTAGAGCTGAGTTTAAGGAGTGTGTAAAAATCACGTTTTAGCGTGATATAAATGAAATTTTCACCGATTAAAAAATCAGGAGTTTGATATAGGGTGTGCAAGATTCAACCTTCCACCTTCCCTGGCACGGCGGTTACGAATTTTTAAATAATAGCGGGAAGTTGAGTTTAACCGTCCGTTTCTAGAGTTGGGTTCATGGAGCGCGCAAAAATCCGATTTTATTATGATTCGTATAAAAATTGTATGGTTTAGAGAGTCAAGTCTCTTTTATGGAGTGTACAAGTTTTGGTACGTCATGTCGTCTAAAATCGGTGAAAGGAACTTTTAAATAAATGCGGACATTTCAATTAAACCTTCCCTTTTTAGAGCTGCGGTTAAAGAATGGGTAAAAATCAGGTTTTAGTGATCTACTTAAATAAAATTTTCACCGATTAAAAAATATGGAGCGTTCTATAGGGTGTGCGAGATTCAACCTTTCACCTTCTCTACAACGGCAGTTACGAATTTTTAAATAAAGCGGGTAGTTGAGTTTATCCGTCCATTTCTAGAGTTGTGTTCTTGAGGCGCGCAAAAAATCCTCAGGTATTAGCATGATTCGAATAAAATTTTCAAGGTTTAGAGCGTCAAGTCTCTTTTATAGAGTGTGCAAGTTTCAACTTGCCACATTATCTGGCGTTGAAGTAAGAAACTTTTAAATAGAACGGAAAGTTGAGTTAACCTTTCATTGTTAGACTTGCGTCTATGGAGCGGATAAGAATCAGGATTAATTGTCATTTTAATTAAATGTCCACGGTTTAGAGAATGAAGTGTCTTCTATAGGGTGTGCAAAATTCAACTTGTCACCTGTGCTGGACTCGGAGTTAGGAATTTTTCAATAGGAGTGAACTGATTTTTTTAGAATTTTTCTTTGCTAGCCCCAACTTTACAAGATACAGCCTCGGATCAAAGAGATGTCCGTAAATCCACAAGTTTTCTAGCCAGTTTGAGTCGAAACGACAACTCATTCCCAAAAGTTCCATTAAAAAATGCATTTGCCTACCAGGCTTCAAATGCGATCCGGATACAACGGATATTGCCGGAAAGTCTATAAGTAGTCCAAGCATTTTATTCTGTAATAAATAATAAGGCTTTAAAGCCTCGGCCTAAACTTCTGTAAATTTATTCGAACAGCAAATTAAGGAAACTCGACCGAATAAACAGTTCGCTTACAAAATTCTGGGGCTTTCACATAATAATAAGCATTTCCATGTGGGGTCGCTTTGTGTATTTAGGCCGCAAATTGCATTAAAAGTACATGTTTACGAATTATTAAATAAACTCACGAAAACCGAATTCGAAATGACGATGTTTTCATTTCGTTACCTTTCAGCTGAATAAGCACTTCAAGCTTTTCAAGGAGCTTTCGTTCGGAAAAAACGATTAGCCAGCTATTTAATCGAGTAAAGGAAGTGTAAAGTTGTGAAGAAACCGCCTAAAATTCTGCTTAAAAAAGCGCTGGGATGATGATCCGAACGACTTATATTGCTCATACTTACACAGTTTCAAGTAACAAATCTGCTGCTCTCATCCATTTCACTTTATGAAATGAGTAGTGAAAAATATGGATAAAACAATTGTGTGTAGAAGGAGTGTTAATTATTTCAATTAAATGTTCCTTTAAGGACTGGTAAAAATCGAAAAAAATCAAACACTTAAGTAATAATTCTTTCAAAGCAAAAATCTCCAAGCACCTACAGCCAAAGAGCCACGAAAACCTTCAGTTCGAAAGATCGGAGCTCTTCTTGAAAAATCGTCGCTAAAACTGTTCATTATCAAACGGTTTTATAAGCAAATCTTAACCTCTAAAGAAATAGAATAAAAAATTGGACATTCAAGTTTTTATATCTGGGAAATAAAGACTTTTTTCCCATAGTTTTTGGTAAAAATTCTTCAGGAATTTTACCTAAACATTTTTAGAAGCTTTCTCAGTTGCGTTATTTTCAGCGTATTTTGCAACGTTCAAATGGCTCTTG